ACATGTCCTTGAACATGTCTCTCTCTTTGGCAATGACGAACCTCCTCTCTTCCGCTTCCCTGACTTGGCTATCGATTTTCGCGATTTCCTCGTCCAGGGCTGCCTCTTCGGCGCAGAGCTGAGCGTACTCAGCTTCCACGTCTTCCGCAGGCGGAATCTGTATAGTATCGGCCGGAATGTCTAATGAGCTTGTCGCGAGAATTATTAGCTGCTGGTTGGCTTGTATGATGTTCTGGCATATCTTTTCGATGGATAAGGAACGGTATGAATCGCCGAAATGTAAGTAAATCTGTTGGAGTTTCTGTAATTCGCGATATTCATTTTGAAGTTCTTCGATTTGAACTGTTGCTTTCGTACTATCTGCAATAGCGCTGAAATTGGCTTGTTGTGAATAGAACCACGTACGGGCTTTCTCTGTGGCCTTTACGCAGTTTTGGAAAATTTCATCTCGCATGTCGCGAAGTTGAGGGAGCATGACGGCAGCACTTGAGAGATCTATGTTCTCTGATGTGCCCTCCGTCGTTGCACTTAGCTTTTGGTCGAGTAATTCGGCGATTTCATCCCATTCTTTTGAATTATCTTCTTCCATCGATTGGAATCTGGCTGAAACATTCTTGGGGAAGATTGCTTCAATGTAAGGAGTGTATTTCTGCTCGAGATTGAGTATTTCGTTCTGTAATTTGTCGATTCTTTTCACAAATTTTTCTTTTGAATAGCTGAAGTTATCGTACATCTTAATACTGGTGACTTTGATCTTTTGGAAGATGTTTTGGCTGTTCTCGAGCTCTTCATTGACACTTTTAATCAAAGCAGTCTGTTTTCTAAGGCTTTCTGCAATCATGTTGAGGAAATGGTACTTCTGCTCAACAACTTTGTAGAAAGGAGAGTTGAGAATTGACTCTGGAGGGCAATCTTGAATTGAAAACGTTTTTGTATCAGAAACCTTTGGTTTTAGAGCCTTTATTTGTGCACGGATGTTATCAATGTCCGCCAATTTATGGGAAAGAGCGCCAACAACACCTCGTAAGTGTAAAATTTCTTGAGATAATTCTGCAGCTTCGAGTTCTTTTCTGATTCTTTCATCGAATTCAGGAGGAATGTTGATTGCAGGTGTTGGTGTTTGAGGTACATTTGTTGGTAATCTCGTCGTAACTGGTTTTCCTTGAATTTCATCGCCAATCATGAATTCTTTCAGTTTAACGTATTGAGAAAGAGGTCTGACAGACCTTGGCTCAATTCTTTCTATCTCGTTTTTCATTATATTGCTAACAGCTGTTTCCATTGATCTGTAGACGTATTTTATATGGCCACCGAGTTGTTCAACTTCGGTTTTAGTGGCAGCGGAATCGCACTGTTCGACAAATGTGACAAAAGGATTAGCATTGATGCCATAATTGAAAATATAATCGAGTAAAAAGAGGTCAAACGTTATTATTTCGGCGGCACCCATGATGTTTACGCACTCTGTACCAAGTTTTTTGGATTTTTCTTGGTTTTGATCTATGATTTTTTCCAAATTTTTGAGGCGATTCTGAACTTTTATGATTTCGGCGTAGACTTCATCTGGAGGCGTATAGTCTACAATTGGAGGAGCTTCCTGGTCAGGTTGACCATAGTTTCGAAGAAAAGTTGATGGCGGATTGCTCATTTTGTGAAATCAGTATTGTCACTTTTTTAAGAGTCTTTGTTGCAATTACATGAGTAGTTATATTAATTAGCGGCCATCTGGCTATCATTATTAATTCCATCCCAACAACATCCTGAGTGTTTAATAGTTTTTGTTCAAGTTTAGAAATAAAATTGAAAAAATAAATAATATTAATAATATCATGATTTTTTTGAAGACAATAGCTAAGTTTGCTTGTGTAGTACTCATTTTCATAAGATCATCGGGTTTTAGCATTAATAAATTTGAGATGATATTTAATATTTCAAATATAGTTAAAAATTCTATAGTTATGTAATTCAAATAATAGCTCTTTATATAAATATTTTATTGGTTTTCGATTATTTTACATATTTCATTCCTCTTTTTTATCTTCTGTCTTTTCTTCCTTAGTTTCTTCTTTTGCTGGTTCCTCAGTTGCTAGTTTAGTCTCAGCTGGTGTTGCATCCTTTGGTGTCTCGGCTGGTTTGTTACGAACGATTAAATCACGAATTGGTAAGAATTCTGGTTTGAGATCCAGATGTTTATGATCAAGTCCATAAGAATCACGCTTGCTTCTGAGGATTCCTTCCTTAACTAACTGCTTAACAGTAGATTTAAGGAGATTTTTGAATTTTTTATTATCTCCATCTTTGAAATAGTCGTAGAAGTATGCGAGAATTGCATTCATGCTAACTAATGGTGCATCTTCTTGCATTCTTGCACCAATTGCTTCAATAACGATCTCTCTATAGGTTAAACCTGATTCTTCGTCACGAGTAAGTGTTTTATCAGCAAGTTCTTTCTCTTTTGCAAGTTTTCTTTCTGCTGCTTCCTTTTCAGCTTGAGCAATCATCTCTTCTTGTTCTTTTCTGCGTTTTTCTTCTTCCATTTCTTTGAGATGTTGTTTCATCTTTGCTTCGTATTCAATGAGGAACTTGTTTCTAACGTACGGTTCTTTAACACGATTTGCTGCTTCTTCCATCCTTTGTTTCTTTGTTTTACGATTTAATTTCTTTCTTTCTGCCTTTGTTAACTTCTTTTCTTCTGGTTGCTTGTTTTCTTCTGTTGTAGTTTCGACTTTTTCAGCAACTTCTGTGCTCATTTTTTAAAAATTTTGTGTTTTTTACTTGGAGACATTTTTGGCACTTTTCAAATCAGTAAATGATGAAAAGATATCGATTTTTACTAGAATAAATGGATTACATTTTATTTGTTGTTACATAATTTAATTCCAAATTTCTTTTTCATATGTAATTTCTTACAAGACGTTCAATCATTTGCCTATCACCTTTATCTGATGCGCCTTTGAAGAGATGTTTGTCCAAATATATTGTTATTGTGTCATTTCATAGTTATGAACTTAATTTAACATTAATCAAATTGTGGAAATGGTTTTACACATGTATAACATAAAAAAAAAAAAAAAAAAAAGGTAGTGGGGCTTCCAGGCACTTCGTGCCTTCTAGCCCTGAAGATGTTTAGTATAAATGAAGTTTTGAGGACATACATGACTGTGAGTTTTATTTACGACAAGATAGAATATGAGAGAGGTCCTATAAACCGGACAAGTAAGGGTCATATAAACATCTGTCATTTTACTCAGAATTTTACTCAGAATTCAATAAAAATATATTTTAGGGTAGAAGGTTAGATATAACCTCTTTTCTAACCTCTTTTCTACCCTCTTGAATTTGTCAAGATTTCTTCGTAAATGTTTTGTCACTTTTCTGTCACTTTTCAGGAAAAAAACATTTTTATTGTATATAAAATGAATTTTACAAAACCACCGTTACCCTTCTTTGGAAATAAGAGTAGATGTAAAGATATTCTATTGAGAGAACTTAAGAAACTACCGAATGGTCTAACATTTGTAGATTTGTTCGGTGGAAGTTTCTATATATCCCATTGTGCCATACTGTATTTCCTGACTCAAAGATTATATGCAATGACTTCGACAACTATATGGACCGTCTCAAACATATTCCAGACACAAACAATATATTGAAAGCGTTAAAAAAAAGATACCTATAGGTAAGATGGAACGTATACCATTAGATAAGAAAAATATTGTGAGAGAGGTTTTGAAAAAAGCAGAATATATAGACTGGGATAGTATATCTGCTAGACTATTATATAGTGGTGCTATAAGAGTTCATGACATTGAAACACTTATGTCAAAAGTTTTATATCTTAACTATACAAATGTTTTCAAAGAGGACATAGAAAAATATATTGAGGGTATAGAGTTTGTGAGATGTCATTGGACAGAGTTGTATGAAAAATATAAAGACAAGGAAAATGTTTTCTTTATAGTGGACCCACCGTTCTATAACACATGGGATTTTCAATACCAAGTAGACTGGACTTTGAGAGACTCTTTAGAAACTTTAGACGTTTTACATAACCATCCATGCTTTTACTTTACATCCGATAAAAGTGGTTTGGAAAGTGTCATGAGATGGTTAGAGGACATACATGACTATGAGTTTAGATACGATAAGATAGAATATGAGAGAGGTCCTATAAACTGGAGAAAGTGTCATAACAAAGAAATTTTACTAGTAAGTAAATGTGGTTTGAAATAGGACTACTTGTTTTAGGTTTTTTCCATTGTGTCATTTACTTATTTGACGTGGCAGAAAGATATAGAGAATATGAAGATGAACCAATGCCTGCAAATGTTCAGTATATGTACTCGTAAGAGATATTTTTATCTAATATTAAATGGACGCACAGAACTTAGCGAATGCACAGCAACCTGGACAACCAAACCCAGAGAATATTCCAAATGAAGTTAGAATACAAACTGCAATGGCAAACTATGGTCAAGTGCCAACAGATGTACAAATGCAAACTGCCATGTCAAATGACGCTGCGTTAGGTTTGCCACCATGGTATGCAAATATGAGATGGAAAGAGTTTTATACAAACCCTGAAGTGGGATATAAACAACTTTATGCAGATGACGCGAACACAGGAGTTGACCCAGAATATGTTTTCTACCAGAGGAGAAACAGAATGTATGAGCTCCAGTTAAAGAATGCTATGGAACTCAACAGGAAACGTAAGAGACTAGGCGGACATTAGATTTTTACATATAGTAAAATGGGTTTCTTTGGAAGAATAGGAAACTTCTTTCGAAATGTTGGAAGAGGTATATGGAATGGAATAAAATCTGTCGGAAAAGGAATTTGGAACGGAGTCAAAAATATTGGTAAAAGAGTAGGTCAGTTTGTTGGTATTATACCTAAAGACCCTGAACCAGAAGAACAAGCTCCTGTTATACAACAGCCTGAACCTGCACCACAGTCTAGTTGGCAACCAAATCCAACACCTCAACCGTATTAAAAAATTATATTTTTATCGTTCGATAGTAGTTGTATATGAAACTAAGTTCTAAGTAAAACGCATGGTATAATGGAATTATTCTTTTTCTTCCATCTGTAGTAAACCATACTTGAAAGTCTGAAATACTTCCACTTGGTGGTTCGTATAACTTTGTAGGTTTTTCGTAAAAGTCATTTGCCAAGCATAAGAAAGAGTTTTGGGCGCCAGAAAATGAAGCATGAACAATAATAGCAGCTGGGTCGAAAACATCTTTAAATAAATATGGTTCATCTCTTGCATATCGACTGTAAATATTTGCTAAAGGAAGTTCGACTTTCTGATTTAACATTCTTTGCAAATAATACCATGACATTGCAGTGAATTCTGTATATATTTGTTCGTCTTTCTTTGGATTGTCTTCGTAGATTTGAAATGACACTTGTGAATTTTGTTTGTCATATACAATTCTCACATAAAGTGTGCTCTCGGTATTTGCATATTCATCAGCATATTTTGCATAACATGAATTTATTTTATCTTCTATATTTTTTAACGCAGTCTGTAGAGAAGATGAAAGGTCAACTTGTATTAGCTCAATTTCTTCCCACATTTTTCGTTTCCCTTCAGATATATAATCTATATGAAACCTTACAATAAATGGAAAACTTTTATCTTCTACAGACACAAACTTCATTCTACGAAAGCCAATAGCTTTTGTGACAGATGGGTCTCTTAGCCATCTAAGTGGGTAGTCAAAACGATAGCCTTCATGCTTTACGGTCTCTGTCTCAAACTTTTGACCGACATTCGTAAAAAGTTCATCTAATGGTTTAGTTGTAGCAACTCTTGAATTTTCTTTTTCTATTGGAAGCATATTTTATCTAGAATAAAAATGTCGAAAGAAACAGCGTCTATGAGAGAAATACAACACAACCGACAACTCATTATGCAAGCTCTAAATAAGAACACAACAAACTTTTCAAACTATTCTAAGATATCTGAGTCATTGAAAGAAGGAAACTTAAAACTGACGATAAACCCAATGACAGACGAGTTTCTGTTTCAAGACAGTAAGAACCATACTGTTTGTATAAATCCAACAAAAAGAACTTTAAACGAGAAACCTATAGATGAACTTCTTTTGAAGGCAGATATTGACAACAAAGCTGACAAAGAGTATGTCATTGAAAAAGTTCAAGAAGAACATGACAGAGCAGATGCAACATATGCAACGAAAGAACATACTCATCCTGAACTAGCAGATAAAACATATGTTGACAATAAAATGTCAAGTGAAGTGACAAGAGCTGACAAAGAATATTCTAAAAAGACTCATACACATACCATTGCAAATATTACAAACTTACAAGAAACCTTAAACAGGAAAAGTGACGTTGGACATACACACGATTTCTTCGCAACTGTTGGTATAGAAAATATTGCAGGAACGGTTGAAGAACCTGATGGAACTGGTGGGGATGTATTAAATTGGAAACCTCCTAACTTTCCACAAGGTTTAACATCGGAGGATGACATAACAACGATGAAAGACATTAAATGTAGAAATGTCTATGTCATGGAGGATGAAAACAAAGTTAAATTCACTGCTCAAGATTTATATGATAAAAAAGCTGACAAAACATATGTTAACGATGAGTTAGATAAAAAAGCTGACAAAACATATGTTAACGATGAGTTAGATAAAAAAGCTGACAAAACAGAGCTTCAAACGTTAAAGACAGAAATACTTCAAACACTATATCCTATAGGCTCTATTTATACGTCAATGAACTCTACCAGACCAGAAGTAGTACTTGGTTTTGGAACTTGGACTCAAATAGTCGACAGGTTTTTGTATTGTGCAAACTCTTCAAAGGAAACAGGTGGAAGTAAAACGATTTCAGGTGCAAATTTACCTGCGCACAGTCACTACATAAATTTAAGTACATCTGAAGCAGGTTTGCATAGTCATAGATTTTGGGATTGGTCAGGAATGACAAAAGGTAAAGGATATGATGTTAAAGAGGACGTTAAGTTTGCTATAAATTGTTACTGGAGTAACACTGAGGTAGGAGGAAGCCATACACATCGCGTTTCAGGGTATACGCAAACAACGGGACAGAGTAAAGACTACATGCCACCTTACATGACAGTTTACGCATGGTATAGAAATGCTTAGTCGTCATTTTCAACTTCTTTAGCATATTCGTCAGGAGTTGTCTTATATTTGTTAGGAACTGTCTTTGAAAGTATACCACCTTGAACTTTGACAAGTTTGAAACGAGGTCTGACAATAGTAGTTTTATCTTCTGCTTGCAGTGTGTACATTTTGCCATGTTTGCCTAAAACTTCATAATATTCTCTTGTATACTTTCTTCTATTTTTACGAACACGAATGCGAGTACCTGTCGAGTTCCCATTGTTGTCATAGTCAATAGTATTTTCATATGGGTCGCGTTTAGGTATTTCTATTTTTACTTTGTCACCTTTCTTAAGTTTGAAGCCTGGCATTCTTTCTTGTTTGTCTCTTTTGACTAAACTATTAAATATATAGTCTTTCTCTAAGTCGGGGTTGTTTTTCATTTCTTCGGGGAGTGGTTTCCCAAACCTTTTTGTTTACGGCTATTGTAAATATTTAAAACTTGTCTCATCTTTGCCATGGAGAAGTGTCTATATTTGTCGTCATATGACATTTCATCTACCTCACCACCTTGTGGTTGATTTAAGTCTCTTAAGATTTTTATACAACTGTCAATGACACCAAGAGCAGAATGGTTTTGGTCGACAATGAAATATTGGTTTACATTTTTTGAACGCAGATAGTTTTTAATATCGTCTGATTTGAAAGAACGTTCACAGTCAGATGTCAGTTTTGTTGGATGGTATTTGTCAACAAATATTGTCAAAGCAGTTTTCACATCTAAAATATTTTTGGACTGTAATGGTATGGCTTCACAGTATCTTGTGTTTTGACCGACAAATATTAGCCAGTATGGTGGTCCATCTTCTCTATACCTCGGAATGTTTTCCAAGATATCCATAAACCAAGCATTTGGTGTTGAACTAAAGATTTTTATCATGAGTGCTTTCTTTGTTGCCTTAGAAACATAGGGGTCCTTGTTTGGATTCGTCATTTTTTACCCTATAAGAAATGGGTTTATTTGGCGCATTAGCAGGAGTTGCATCCAGATTTTTGCCCGCAGTGGGAACAATAGCCAGAGGTGCATTTGGAATTGGAAGGAAGATTTTGAGTACATTAGGTATACTTAAAGAGAAAGCACAACCTATTATACAAACTGTACAGAAAGGTTGGGATGTAGCACGAGATGCAGCAAATCTTATTCCAAATCCTGAAACAAGAGGAAAAGTTCAAGGATGGATGGACAATGTAGGAAGACAAGCAGGAAACTACTATAACAAAGCAAATGACTACTATAACCAAGCAGGGCACTACATGGACCAAGGTGAAAGATTCTTTAACAGAGGATATAACCATGCACAACAGTGGGTAAACAACAACCAACCGCAACCGCCTCAAACGTGGGGAATGTAAATTTTTTTACTGAGATGAAATGAACAATACAGCATTGAGACAAATGGGCTCAAGATGGATTTGTCGGCTTCCAGCAGTTACACAACCACGTGTTTGTCAAGTTCTTCCTATACCTCAAGAAGTTTTAGACCGACTTAAAAAACCTAAACAACCAGTTGAAAACAAACCAAACTAAAATTTTTTACTGAGATGAAATGACCGAAGAAGTTGAAACGGTAGATTTGACACCACAAACAAAAAGTTCAGAACCATTGTCAAAACCTGTCAAAGAACTTACAGATGAAGAGAAAAATTCAATAATAGAAAGTGCCAGGTCTGGAAATACAAACCCTAACTACAAAGTCACTTTTCATAGAAATGGAACGGCTAGTATCTCAAAAAAGAAACAGACTCTCACAAATAAAATATTGAAGTCTGAAGGAGCTTTCGAGACAACAGATGGAAAAGTTTACTTCACTGACCAACAGTTCATTATAGAACATCTCATTGACTTAGAGTCGAAATATTCTAAACTTTACAACAAACACAAAAAGTTGAAAGGAAAACAAAAACAAATGGCATATGATATTTATGAAGATGTTGACGACACAACCATACCTGCAAGTGAGGTAAAGTCAGAGGAACCGAAAAGTGACGAAAAACCGATAGAAGAAGGGAAGCCAAAAACTGAAGATAAACCAAAACCAAAGGTTAGTCAACCTTCATTAGCTGGTATGGGTTGGCGTCAAAGACTTATGGCAGCCGGTGGTTACGTAAAGTAAAGAAAAAAAACATTTTTTTTTTTTATAAAAATGCCCCCATATAGAATGGATAGAAAGTCTGCTAGAATAAAAGCAGAGTTAGAAAGATATGGTTGGAAAGTTTCGAAGAATTTTAAATATAGGAAGGGAAGACCCATAAAAGTCTATGACAAACTGTCTGGTCTTCGCTATGAAATGGACTTGGAAACAGCGCGCGCCAATTATCCAAACAGACTAGAGAGGTTAGAAGAAGAACGTCTTATGGACATGCCTTTCGATGTTTCTGAACCTCAAGTTGAAGGACACGACGGCTTTGCCAGATTCTACTGGAAACACGACGAACAATTGCATCCTTTGAGAAGGAAAAAAGGAAAAGGTGAAGACAAACATGCTCCCATGGAAAGAACAAGATATGCATATGAAAAGTACCGTGAAGTTAGAAGTCAAATTACATCTGGTCGAACCTTTACAGTAAACTTTGACGAAGGAAAGAACAAAGAAGGCTTCATGGGAGTACTTGCTGCCATACAAGACGGAAATAAGAAAGGATACAATCTCAGACTAACCGTAACAGATTTGGACGGTCATATATACTATGCACATGGCAATGTCACAACAGCTGCAATGCTTCTTGACGCTTTCAAGACTACAAAGAGAGAACAAATGGTTGACTCCGACTCAGACATTTTGAATGCAATTGAAGGAATTGCAAGTGTAAAATTTGAATGGTACCAACCTAACCCTCAAGCAGTCAGACAACATGCTGGATACTTCCCGTTCATAAATAAGTCTGACATTGACTTGACAAGGTATGGAATTTACAATTCAATTGAAACAATTGTCAATGAACCTTGTATTCTTACATGTCTCAGGAACTCTGGTCTTGTTACAGATGAGAAGATGAAGTATCTTGAGTCATGTGTGAAGACAAGGTACATTCTCAGAGGTCAATTGGCAAAAGTTGCACCGTTGGCAAATGTCAATATCCGAGTCAACATACCTACAGCTAAAGGTTCTTCACATGACGACTATGTTGTTGACAAAGACTTACCATGGTTGAAGATTGTAATTGTCCACAACCACTTCATGTTGAACGAAAGTCTTACAAACCCATTGTTCGGAAAAGGCAAGTGCAACATTGTCAGAGCTGTAAACATTCTTTTCGAGAAAGGTTTGTTGGAACCAATTCCAGATGACAAGCTGACAGAAACTTTTGTACCAAAAGACGAAACAAACTTTTCATTGTTAGCAAGACCAAAAGTTGTTCCAGACAAAGTTCTAGCACAAAAGAAGTACACAGTTCCAAAAGGAGTTGGATTGTTCGGATACCAACCTGAACCAGAAGAACTTCCAATGAGGTTGCAAGAACTTCAAGATGCTATAAACAAACTTCCATTGAGACATCCAATTGACGTCAAATTGTATTGGAGAGCATCTGAGTTAGGTCAGAAGGTTTTATATGAAACAGGTTGCTTCGACGATGTTTATGAGATAGCAGGCGAAGTTTCTCAGAAGATAAGAGACTCACTTGAATTTCCACGAACTGGACCCATTGGTTGCGACAAGTTCGACTCAGATGAAAAGATATACTATGTCGACCTTAACGCTGCGTACATGAGGTTCGTCCAATATATCCCGACTGGAATTCCAAACGAAGACGGTGAGTTCCCAGGAAGGAACTATACAGTTGGAAAAGTCATACAACAACTGTATGATATTAGGAAAGCTTCAAACCCCAAACTTGCAATGACACTCAAATTGCTTATGAATTCGACATGGGGATATTCCATTAAGAAACCTCAAAAGATGAAGAGTAAACACTATGAGAAGGTCGACAACTTTGTTGAAAGGTTCTCCCCTTTTGTTTTGAAATACGAATTTACTCAAGGTCAAGGTGGCTTAGTAACCACAGTAAAACCTATTGTCGAACATTGGTCTTACCCTCAGTTCGCAAAGGCAGTCCTTGACAACTACAACAAATTCTTCTCCGAAGTTAAATCCAAAGTGAAGGTTTACTATGAGAACATCGATGCGCTCATGACGAACGAAGAAGGCTATAACAAACTCATTGAAATGGGAATGGTCGGTGAAAAGATGGGTCAATTCAAATTGGACAAAATTTTCACCGAAGTTCATGTCCTCTCCAAGCGTAAGTACTGGGGCATACTTGAAGACGGCACAGAAATAAAACATTGCATGAAATAAAAAATTTTTATTCGAATTTGAATCGGACAGGTCGAGTTACACCATTCTTGGTCTCAAACTCATATATAACCTGTTTGTCTGTATTTTCGTCGACTATGGCACGAGACACGAACATTGACCAAACGGACAAAAAGTGTCATTTCGGATGGTCCCGCAGCCAATCGCATTCGAGCACTTCGAAGAAGCCTTACGTTCCAAGGGAGAGGGTGTCTGGTGCAAGGCAGAGGTCATGAGACTCTACGAGCAGTACATCCTCAATGCCTGGGAGGACAAATCGTCCTTGGAATGGCAATTCTACCAACTCCTCTGGGACGACCTCCTACGCAACTGGGATGACGAAAGAGTCCAATTCAGAGGTCAGGAACTACTTGTCCAAATTATCCTTAATTTAAGCCGCTTACGCAACTAAAAACTTAAATTTACTCGGGGTTTCCCCCTAAAATAAAATTTTTTTACTCTTAGAACCACTCGAGGTTCTCCTTACGGTTGTTGAGCTTGTCACCGTCAATGTGTCTGACCTTCGTCCTCTTGTTTGGATTTGGAACCCATTGAATTGCGACAAGCTTGCCCATGGAGATTGAACCGTAATTCCGAAGGGTAAGGTTCAAGTGTCCCAAGTTGTTGAGAACTGGGGTAAGAACCTTGCCGGTCTCCTTGTTGCGGATTTGGTATGGGTAGGGTTGGGAAATTTCGTAAGTGTCATCGGCAACAAGGGTTGCCCAAACTTCCTCTTCTTCGTGTTTCTCTTCTTCCTCTTCTTCCTCTTCCTCTTCTTCGTGTTTCTCTTCTTCCTCGACAATTCCTTCGGCAATTCTGTGTTCACGAAGTACGGTGTTGGAGGTTCTGTCCTTTCCGAGTACCTTCCAGATGGCGTCTATCTCTTCGAAGAAACGGTAGATGAGTCTGGCAAGGTCTCGGTTCTCTCTCGCGTAAATGCGCAAGGTTTCCGTCAAATCGTTCAGGACTTTCTCATTGGAAGCTTGGTTCATGAGGAACTCACCTTTAAGTCCCTTCATCTCTTCCATAAGACTACTTTGGAGAGTCTTAACGGTGTTTGTCAGATGAGCTTTCAAATTCAAAATTTGAATTTGAACTGGGCGCTTGTCTGGCAACATTGAAAGGACATCTTCCATTGTGTTCGGCTTCGGTGCTTGTTCGGACATCGAAAAAATGAAGTGGTTTGAGAATGACGGTTTTACTTCAAAAAGCTTGTTATGACGGTTAAGTCATACAACAAGTTTAAAATAATATCTTGTTCTTCTTCTGAACGTTTGTTGTCTCTTCCGATAAAAGTTTCGAACATGAGAACCAAAAAACGTTTTTTGAGATTGCGGAAGAGTTCAGGCAAACGTTCATATTCTGGATATGTTGGGAGCAGTTCAAAACATCTGAGCTGACTTTCGGACAAAATTGGGACAATGTCAGAAAATTCATCTTTGGTCGGACTGCTTGAAGGTAAGTCCCTTACATGTAAGTAGCTCTGGTAAAGTCTTCTCATTTCTGCTAACTTTTGGAGTATAGCTTCGTAGTTTAGAAGTTTTAATTTTAATTGTCTTATTCCACTCTTTACTTCTAAACGGTAAGTATCCATGAGGTCAAGAGTAGCTTTGGTAGCTTTAAGTGGAGCTATTTGTTCCTTGACTTCTGCAATTTTGGTTGCAATTGTGGTTTGAGCTCCTTCAAGTTCGCCGTCTATGTCGTTCTCAACACCTTCAACCATAGCTTGAAACTCTTCATCGGTCCATTGAGTTTGGTGTGGGACGAATTTAACTTGCTTCATTCAAAAAATGAAAAAAATGTTTTTACTCAAAGCGTGCCATGTATATGGCTATAAGAAACTTACCAGAAGGCTTCTTCTTCACATGAGTCTTCGGCAACTTGAGAGTTCTTGTTGGAGTTGGGTCTGGAATTTCAATTCTCTCTCGAGCGCAACAACAGATGTCAGAATAACATTCCCCACTGTCTTTCTTGCCACCATAAATTGTGTATTGACCGAACTTGCATTTGCAGGAAGACCGGTCAATACAAGGTTCACAGTTGAAATAGTTGTACACAAACCTGTTGAGTACGAGTGTGAGTAAAAACATAAAAAAAGTGAAGTTAAAATGAGATGTTTACTGAATTGGTTGGATGTCGCCTTCTGAGGTTATGAAGAACGGCTGTCCAGAGTAGTGAAGTAGTGCTCTGAGAATTTGTGTAATTCGTGGAATTGGGCTCTCACGATATGGAAGTAGTATCCAAGGACGTTTCATGAAGAACTTCAAGAGGGCTTCTTTCTTCACATCCTTAATATCATCGAATGCAGTGCCTTCTGGAACTTGAATTGCAACACCTGTTTCAATTTCCAACTTTAAGACACTATTCTTGGACAACCAGAAGCCAATGGACTTGCTTGGTTTGCACTTGCTGAGATATTCCTTCACGGTTTCATTTACCTCAATTAGATAAATTGCTTCGTCTAAGGGGTCAAGCTCCATACTGAGTCAGTACAATATTGTACTTTTTCAAGACAATGTTGTACTTTTTCAAGACAATGTTGTACTTTTTCAAGACAATGTTGTACTTTTTCAAGACAATGTTGTACTTTTTCAGAACAATGTTGTATAAATTCAGTACAATGTCTCTCAAATTTGAGTACGGCTGTACTTTTTCAGAACAAGTCTTGAACTTTTTCAGAACAATGTTGTACTTTTTCAGAACAATGTTGTACTTTTTCAGAACAATGTTGTACTTTTTCAAGACAATGTTGTACTTTTTCAAGACAATGTTGTACTTTTTCAAGACAATATTGTACTTTTTCAAGACAATATTGTACTTTTTCAAGACAATATTATATTGTTTCAGAACAAAGACGGTTAAGACACAAACGAATGTCCGACGTCCCACCTACTGAACCCGTTCCACAGCCAGAAGAACAGCATGCTCCAGCACCACAACAGGTTCCACCTCCACAAGGCTCCCCACAGCAACCTCAGTTCCAACAAGGACCTCCGAATTACTACCAATTTCCACCTCAAGGTTACTACCCACCACAAGGCTTTCCAAACTACCCACCACAAGGCTTTCCAAACTACCCTCCTCAACCCATGCCTTACTTCCCTAACCCTTGGATGTTCATGTCAAACCCTCCACCCCAATTCAAATTCCAATCTCAGTCCAAGAGAGACCAAGAGTTCGAAGAAGGTCTGAACCGTTTACGCAAAGAGTATGCCACAGCCCCTATGGAAGAAGACAGGCTCTCACTCTCTTCCCTCAAATCGACCGATTCGACTCGTACCACAGATTCGGTTCGTGACCGTGAAGACTACCTCAAGCAGTCTGAGAGACTCTTCATCCTACAACCATTTACAACTGGAGCTCTCAAGAACATGCGCAATTACGAAGGTCAGACACCAGCTGGAGACCGTAAAACAGACGTACTCGCAAGAGCAGTCCAACTGGTCAAGACAAAGACCGAGATAGTCGACTTCATTCTTGCAGCTTGCCCATACAAGTAAAAAAATAAACAATTACGAGTTAAACTTTTTATTCTTTCTTTTCTGAGTTGTTTAGAGCTGGTTTCTCTTGTAGAAACCTTTCGTACTCTTCCATGGTCATGTAATTGCGAATTTGGTACGCAATTCCAGGTTCGTTGTTTTTGAACCTTACGTATGTAACGCTTCCATCCTCCTCAGGGAAGTAAGCTGCTAACATCTGACCAAGTTTTCTCGGTGACTCGGAGCTCATAAAAATGTCACTTTTTAAACGTTAAGTTTTTAGTCTTATTTTACCCTTTGTTTACCCTTTGTTTGTCAAGGTAGTATTGGAGTGCAATTTCTCCAAATTCTCTGTGTCGGAGTTCTTCAGCATTTTCCAAGGTGTGCCTGGAGAACTCAAAGAAGTTGTCAAGAAGATACTGCCATGCTGCTCTTCTGAGTTCGTCGGTATTTTGGAAGTGTTGCACCTTCGAGTCTTCGGACATGAAAAAATAACACTTTTTCAGCAAAAATAATGTTTATGTTAGAATGTTAGATCTAACATGTTTTCTAACACGTTTTCTAACATGGTCTAAAACTCTTGAATTTTCATGAGTTTTCCCGAAATAAAAAATAAAGTTGGTTTTTTTAAAAAAATATTTTTTTATTTTGTATAAAAAATATGATTTCAACAATCGGCACAACAACAGTTCAAACAACTACAGCACCAAACTCGTTAGTTATGAATCCAACATCTATGTTGGTAGAGATGAAAAACTTCATTCCTTCTTCATATACTTTCGAAACAAAAATCCAGAAGATAAAGCAAGAACTTTTAACAAGTAATTTAGACTGTAGTGCGAAAGATGAAACAAATGAACAGTATCTTTATGAAATGCAGGACATTATTGACCATTTACCCAAATTGCCTGAAATCCAACAACAAAAACTCACTATTCCTGAATTCGACGAAATTGAAGTTAAAGTTACTGACTCAGTAGAAATAAAGAAGTTCATACGAAAGGTAAACTATGAGTTTCTAGGATTTCATTGCAACCATAAGGTTATGGACAAAGATTGCGACATGGTATATAAGAACATCTCTGACCTTTACAAATCCGAAGAATTTAAGACCTACGACAACTTTGTTTCATTAGTTGCAAAATGTGTTTGGGAAATAAGAGATAAAGATAGAAGAGGTAAGGTATGGAACGAACAAATAAGACCCGCTATGTTCGAGATGAAGAGAGCAATTGACGCCTTAGTTGTTTTAGCAGGTAAGGTTTCAGAATATAACGCAAAAATGAACCCGCAATGTTCTAAATGTAAAGCAGCAATGAGGAAATATAACTACTCAGTCAAAGAGATAGAAAGAATGAGAAACGACTATGCAGACTTAAAGAAAGAAGCAGAAAAGCCAGCAGAAGATAAAATGAACATGTTAGCATTTCTGAACAAAAACTATCCAACTGCTGACGATTTCCTTCTATCTGACGTCAAGAAGAAGTATAAAGAAACTTTCGGTATCGTTAAAACATTCGATGTACTGACAGAAGAAATAGAAGCTACGAAATTGTTTAGAGTCATGAACCATCGCAACATATACCATGTAAAACGCTTGTAAATAGTTATGTTAGAAAACATGTTAGAAAACATGTTAGATCTAACATTCTAACATAAACATTATTTTATTGAATTCCGTATGAAATTTCATGAATTTTGTATGTTTTAGACCATGTTAGAAAACATGTTAGAAAACATGTTAGATCTAACATTCTAACATAAACATTATTTTTATTGAATTCCGTATGAAATTTCATGAAGAACAGCGAGTAGTGAAAAAACCCTGGTCGCCAAAACTCTTTATTTTTCAAGCTTGACTTTTTACAATTTGAACTTTGTTTGCGTAGATATGAATTCTGAAAGAAGTATGAGGGTCTTGTATGACTTTGTACTTCTCCCATAGTTCATGTCTGTCAAACTTACCTGCCATGGACTCTTTCATAAGTTCCATGAAATCGTCTTCGGACAATCCAGGGAAAAGTATGATATCAGTAAGTATTCTCTTTACATCCTTACTTAAACTCTTGGCTGTCTGTACACAAATGACAACTGAAATGTTAAAGTGTCTGAGCTTCTTGAGAATTCGACACATGTCTTGTTCTCTGTTCTTTAACAAAGGATGAGAAGCAAAGTCATCTAAGATAAGAAGACATCTATGAGGGTAAGTCTTCCAATCGTAAGATTGCAATTTCTTCGAAATGTATTCTATCTCTTTCTGTTTGTTTCTGAAGTGTTTCTTCTCTAATATTCTCTGCATTTCCTCATTTGGGTCTTTAAACTTCGAATTGACATACTCATTTATAGCATTGTACTTCAAAACTCTTCTTTGGTACTTCTTTATCCAATCTAACAACTCAGAGTCTTTTATACATACTAACTTAGACTTCTTTATAATATCTTTGAACGAATTGACGGTTTGGTCAAATTGACCAGAAGTACTACAAATGACAACTAACTCATAGAATGGGTTCTTCTCATCTAGTTCTTGTTGTTGTGCAGCCATTTTAAGATAAGTGAAAGTCTTACCCGACCCAGGTGGTGCAATTAGACCTGTTATACCATTCTGAGCAAATAAGAACTTGTCATGTATAGGCTTTATCTGAGCATTTTCTAACTTCCTCTTGTTCTTGTTTAAAACATTCTCAAATTTCTTGTCAATGTCAGCAAACTTTTTTTCTAACATATTTTTAGAAAAATTAAAAATTTTATCTTTTAGAAAATGTCTAGCGATTTCGCTATCTATATTCGAGACAAACTTTTCGACAGCAAAACATCTGTCGACCATAAAATCTTACATAGTGTCAACAAGAAAGGTGAATTTGTTCTAAAGTTCTGTTTCTGGGAATATGACAAGAACCATAAAACATTAAGCAGAGAAGTCTTTAAGTTTGTCAATGACAGACTTGTTGACAGAGATGACGCCGATTGGAAAGATGAAGTCCAACAAAAGTTCTTAGAATGCAAAGAAGACACATGCGCTGTTCTTGAAGATGAAATAGAAAACAGAATAGAAGAGCTATTAAAGGACAAAGACCTTTTACATAAATATGGTTGCGCCAAATTTGACATAACTCCACCAGAGAAGAAGAAGAAGAAGAGAGAAAAGAAAGAAAAGAAAGTAGAAGAAGAGAAGAAAGAGCCAGAGCCAGAGCCAGAGAAAAAGAAATTTGACATGTAAAAATAAAATTTTATTTTTAGAACATTTCTGGGTCAATGTCAATGTTCTCTTCCTCTTTAGGAGCAAACACTGGTTTAGACTCTAAAATCTTTTTACCCAATTTACCTTGAACTTCAACTATCTTAGACTCATAATATTCATAGTCGTCTGCTTTCTTTGGTTCATAAGGTATAACAAGTTTGTATGCTTTGCCTTCTTTAAGGTTTGAAAACCTTCTGTCAAAATTTTCTTTGACTGCTAACAAACCTTCTATGTCTAAGTCTTCAAATTTCGCACCATTTTTAGTCACAATAGCAAACTTAACTGGTTCGATGTTCCAAACTTTGTCAAATGTAGACTTTTCAAAATGGTAGAAGTAAACATTCAAATAAGCGAATGGGTCTAGTTCTTCTTTGACTTCTGTCATGTACTTGTTGACTGAAATATATTTCGTCATCTTTTCTATCGGATAAAAAAATATTTTTTTTAAATTTACTCATAAAAATTTTTCTTTGTATATACGCCGTTCTGTATGTCTAAAAGATTTTTGACATTTGCCAAGAATGTACGTTTAGAAGCTGCCATATAACCATACTCTTGACAATATTGTTTATATGAATCGTACAATGACCTTTCATCTAAACACTCAAAGTTAGTCTCATCTATGAACAGTTCATATACACTCTTGTTTGCTTCTAACAATGTTTGTCTTTCTTCGGTATGTGGAATTTGTCTTGGATTGAACTTTGAAATATCTAATGTCATGAAATATGAGAACAAGTGGTTGTAAAAGTTAGGTGTCAAAGTTTCTGCTAAGTCGTCAAAATATTCTGTATCTTGCATATGAGAATCTGACGTTCTGACAACTACATATCTTCTGTCAGAACTTTCTAACTTCATCGGAACAACATTGTTTGAAACCATGACGAAGTTTGCAACATTTTCACAAACTCTTTGGTCTCTATACTTTCTTTCAACAACTCCAACTTTGTCTGTTATAAGACTCTTCAAAGCATCTGAGTTTAAAACCTTTGTTGTATCTATACTTTGAAGTTCGTTACATACTATAAGTTTCATATTCTCTATTGAAGAGTTAAATTTACCGCAGATGTTTTCTAAGTTTGTCATATTCGGGTTCGAATAGCCCTCTAACAGTTTGCATAAGATATCTGTAAAGAAAGTGTTCTTACCTGTTCCTTGTTTTCCAATTATGATGAGAGCAGTTTCATTTTTAGCACTTGGATGTTGTAAGATGTTTGCAAACCAACATAAGATATACTCATAGACTCTTTCGTTTCCATTGCATATAATTTCTTTGACATGGTCTAACCAAGCTTCTATAACATTTTCTTTCCATTCTACTTGTTCGTATTTATATCCAGTGAAGATAGAATAGAAGTTTGGAGATGGTGTATAGAACTTTATACCACGAACTGAAAAATCTTCTAACTTTGACAATAAGATATCCCAAGCATCTAACATCTTCATACCAACTTGTACGACTTTTATTTTCTTAAGTTTCTGTCTACATTCTTGTTCTGAAACTATTGTTGCTCTTGGTTTGTTAAAGACAACATCCCATTCTTTCATGACATAACATTCTGGGGCAGAGTCGACATAAATGACTAAACGTTTCAAATTCTCGACTGCTTTGTTATAGTCTCTAAATGGACACATATTTCTGAACGCTTGGAAGTCATAAAAATCTGAAACGTCTATTCTGTACATTTTTATAAAAATAAAAAAAAATATTTTTTTTATTCTTGACTTTGTTGTTGCATTTGTCCATTTGTTGCATTTGTTGCATTTGTTGTTCTTGAGCTATTTGTTGTTGAAGTTGTTCTTGTAGTACAATACTTTCACCAGTTGCATCTTCCAATTCGAAACTTTCTGCCGTCATTGACAAATACATAGGACATAAAAGTTTTACAGGAACAAAGTTTGCGTCAACTAAGGTTAAGTTTATGTTTGCTAAAGTGTTTGAGTTTACTAAAGCTGAAAACTCTGCATTCGAATGAACAATAGGCAAACCAGCAGAGAAAGTGTTGTTTATACGCATGAGTATCTTTTGGTCATAGTAGTTTCTGTCGACATTCGAATAGCACTTTGAACCTAAGTTTGAAACAATATATAAAATAGGTGTACTTAAAGTCAATGGAACAGACAAACCTTGTATGACACCTTTTCCTGTTATAGGAAACTGTTGGTAGTAAAAACCAGATATAAGTTTTGTATTATAGCTCATATCGTTTATAGTAAACTCAGTCGGACATCCAAACATAATGAAACCTGCTCTAGTTGCAGCACATGTTACATCCGTCCTTAAAGTATTAAATAAGTCAACAAAACCTGTTGGTGGTATATCTGAGTAAGTATCTTCAAAGAAGTATTTTTTACCATTCACAACAACAAAGTCTTCTGGTGTCAAAAGAGCAAAACAGGCTTTAGTCGTCATCGTGTTTAAGGTCAGTTTACAATATCGTCCTTGAGGACTTTGTAAGTTTGTTGTTATAGAATTATATGACTCAGGGTTTTTAGTCGTAATAGTATAAACCACTATGTCTTCTGCCATTTACTTAGCAAGTAAATTTTAATGAAATGTTGTGGTCGTCAAATATTTTTATGACGTCTGGGAAACTATATTTTAAGTTCAACGTTTCACCTCCTTTCATAACGTATATCTTGTCAATGACATTATATGAAACACCACAGCAACAATGTCGGGTTCTATTTCTTTGATGTTTATATCGTCTGCCTCTGTCAAAAGTTTCAATAGTTCTTTCAAAATTTCATGAGGTGCAATGACATATGAGTTCACTTTTACAGGGTTGTGTTCGACCAAGTTTAACATTATACCAAAGCTTGACAAATCTTCTCCTGAGTTTTAAGTTTGTCTTTAAGTTGTTGGTAGTCGTTTCGAATATCTGCAACAGAACTTAAGTCTCTGCTAACTTCAGGTATGTTGGTTGTTCTTTTACAGGAACTATTGTTATACCATCTTCGTCTTCGTATGGTTTCCCCACTTCAACATCTCTTTCTTTGACATTGACAACAACACTTTGACTGTTTGTTTGAGTTGGTGAATTTAACTTCACATCTGCCACCGCCATTAAACCTTTTGAAACACTTACGCTTCTATTTTTCGGAAATGACATTTTACTTAGAATAAAAAGATGGACGTATTCGAGTATCTCTTCGAATTGAAGCAGAACAAAGTTTACACACACAAACAATACAAATACATTGACAGAATAGTTCTTTATACAAACAATGGAAAATGTTATAGAATAGCATCTTTGCTGAACCAAAATATTTTCATAAAGCAAAGAAAGTTGGTATAACTGAAATGGTGAAAGTTCTTGAAGCAGACAAAAATATAACAACAAAACTGACCGATATTTCTAAAGGTAAGTTTATAATACAATACTATGTCAAAACTGGCGTACTGTCAATATTTGACGGAGAGAAGTCAGTTCAAGAACAACTTACTGACCTGCTGCCAAAATCTGCTCGATGGAAGCTGTCGTTATGCCAATCTGAGGAGCCCCAGCAGGTTTCATCGAACGAATCTTCAAAAGAGCATCTTCCGTGAAAAGTGCTATTGGTTTTGTAAACTTCTTTGCTTTCAATTCATCTGGACCGTCTCTGTCACCAGTATATTGTATTTGAACTGTACCAACAGTTGAAATACCACCCATAAAGTCTTCTGAGTCAGCAAATGGAATGCCAAGCCAAAAGTTTGAACGGTCTCCATTTGTATATTGAGTTTTTTGACCTCCTGTATGAGTCCATACTTTCACATATGGCATAATAGAACTTTGCATTTCAGGGTTAATGGTTGTTGTGAAGTTGTTGTTAAAGTTCATAGCATCTAATGTCAAGTTGTATGACCTCATATCCTCAACTGTAGAATATTCTTCTCTTGGATAGTATTTGCCATCTATGTTTATATGGTATTTAATACCAGGGTTGTAGAAGCAAGAATAGTCATTTATAGTTCGTCTGAACAGTACAAACATAGTATCTGCATGTTTCATTGCAGTTGTTAAAGCAATATCTGTTCTTGCACCTGGGTCAGCACTTTGGTTTCCAACTTCACCTGCAAAGTCTTTGACAGATATTTGGTGTATAGGGAACATAAGTGGAACTGCAATATATTTGGCAGCTAAAGCATTTGAAATATCTGGGTCCAACATATAGACTGCAAGTCTGCTTTCTATTCTCTTGCATTCAAATTTTTCGCATGTGAACTTAACTGGGTCCCAAGCATCTCCAGCAGCATTGAAATAATAGTTTACTTCAGTGTTGAGGTTTGAGAAACCAAAGTCTAAGTCAACTTTGTTTTTGCAAAAGTCGGCGAATGACATTTTATTTGTTCCCACTACTTCTGTAAGAGTGAATGGGTCTTGTGTTGGTGCAATGACTAAGTTATTTTTGCTTGGAGTAAGTTCGATAGAAATTTTTCCTGCCCAGTTTGGCAAGTATCTTAAAACCTGAAGATGAGGAAAGATGACAAAGGAACTCTAAGTTTCAGTTTTACTTTGGTTACTGCTGCTGCAGTTTGTCCAGAAAGGTTAACATAACTCCTGGAACGTTAGGGTCAAGTCTTCTTATTTTCTCAATAGTTGCATACTGGTCTGTTTGTTCTCTAGCTTGTGGTTGTACTGAGTTTCTCAAAGCGAACCATTCATAGTTTGCCCATGTTACTGTTTGAACTAAGTCAGAGTTAGAATATATCTTATATCCCATGAAAACTTCTGGAGCATATTGGTATCCGACATAGAAAATTCCATTGCAACCTTTCTTGTCAGACAACTTGGCAGAAGGTTTTATTTCAATGTCTTGTTCCACGTATAAGAAAGAGTTGTCAATAGAAATTATATGAAACCTGTCGCAAGCAATATCTACTGTTGTTGAAGAACCTTCTCCAAACTCACCTACGTTTCCATAAGAAACAGCAGTTGTATATTCGTAAGTTCCAGGAACTATTTCTGACCTTCTAATGGCATTGTCGCATTCGTTATACCATTCGGAAACATTTCCGTTCATGGCATCCAAAACTGTTGGCGTTATATTCTGAGCGGCGTACATTTCATATGAGTAAAAATATAGAATAGTTGGATTTATATGTCATAATAGAACCCACTCCGACCAAGCTTTACTTTCTTCCTGACTGAGTTTTTAACTCTTCTTTTTCCTTCATTGCCCTCTGCTTGAAGTTGTTGCATCTTTGCATTATGTTCATCTAGTATGTTGCAAATTTCCCATGTCCTTTTTGCCTTTGGCTCTGGTCGCCCATCTCAGGTAACCTATATCCTAGAAAGAGTTTGTCATAGTCTGTATTTGAGTCTTCGCGTATTGTTTGCATGACTCTTTCCTGAGTTTCAGGTTCAAGCTCTTCAAACAGTGCCTGTCCATATGGAATAAGCTCGTTTCCAAATATATGTTTTTGTAGCCATTCTGGTTTTCTTTCCATGTTACCAACAATATCTTTTGTGAATGGGAAAGCTTTTACCCAATCTTTCAGTCTTTCGTCATTTATTTCTGTAGTTGGTTTATTTTGTCAAGGAACATGTTTTTCAATACTAACATTTCATTTGGTACTGTCCATTTGAGTTTTCTTAAATATTCATCCCTTCTCGGTTCATTGTCTGCAAAGTAAGTTTTTATGACATTTTGTAAACTTTCGTTTGCAAGGTCATGTACAATAGGTTCTCTTCCTTCTCTCTCCCTAACTTTCTTTCTAAACTCTTCACCAAATATACCATCTCTATGGTTCTGTGTAGTTCTTTGAGATAAATGTTCTAGAACGTCAGGTGTTATATTTCCATCAGCCATGTTCATTTCATACTGGTCCAAAATATCTGCATCTTTCATATCTTTCAATGGCATTAAAGCCGCGCTGAAAATACCAGCTATATCTCGTTCACCATTCGCTTCCATTGCGTCTACAACTTCTTGGAATTGAGGTTGTAAGTTTATGAACCACCTATCCGAATTAGCTTTATGACCCCATCTCATTGTAGTTCCATCGTCTGCAGAAACAAAAGTAGGTTTGTTTCCATATTGGCTAGGTTCTGAATGAACTTTAAACAATGTTTCATTTCTATATGTTTTCTTGAAATTTAACCTTTTATCTTCACCGAGTTCATCCGAAGATTGAACGTTAAATGCTCGTAAGTAAAAAGGGTTGTTGTATTTGTGTACATTTTTTTCAGTACTTCCATTCTATGCTGAATATTTTCATCTGGTGTTGGAGTCTTTTGTATGTCGGCAAACATTTTTCGATATTCTTCTACTATGTCAGCCGAATCTTTCTTAGACTCTTGGAAAGATTCCATATTCACCTCATGCTCTTGTTGAGGGTCAAGATTTTTCGGCTGTTCCAAATCTTCATCTAGTTCTGTGAAGTTAGTTTCCAAAGGAGTGACTTGTTCGTTTCCTTCAGGCTCTTCTAGCTGTTGTTGCTGAACTATTTCTTCCATGTCTGGTTGTATCTGAACTTCTTCCTGTGGAGTTTCTTGTACCTCATCTGCTGGCATTTCATATATTCCGAGACCGTTTTCAACAATTTCCCTATCTACGTCATCCGCATTCATAAGCTTTTGTTCTTTCGTTCCGTCTCTATTTTTTACGCGTTTCATGACGAAAGTTGTATTGTCATTTAGCTCTGACATCAAATATCTCGGAGTAAATTCGTTCATGTCATTTGGATGATATGCTATTAAATCATATCCCTTAGCGAGCTTGTATTTTCCAGGTTTGAAATTATATCCCATTTGGTGCTGAGTCATAAAGCTAAATAGGTTCGGGTCAGTATTTCCATCCTTGAACTTTCCAATAGCTTCTTTATATCTGTCACTAAAGTCAATAGTATCTGGGAAACCACACTCTTCTTTAAGCATTTTTAAGAATTCTTGGTTTCCTTGTTCTCTACTTCTTTTATGTCCTTGCTCTGTTTGTGGTTGTTGTGCTGGTTGTGGAGGTGGTTGCTGTGCTGGTTGTTGTTGTTGTGCTGGATTTTGAACTGTTGGTTGTTGTGCAGGGTTTTGAACTGTTGGTTGTTGTGTTGGTTTTGGTGCATGCCTGTGTCTGTGTCCATGTTCATGTGACGATGTAAAGTGTTCCTGGTGGTGCAGGTGCTTCTCTTGGAGGGTTTGGTGGTATATAAGTTCCACCAGCTGGCACATATGTTCCATCTGCAGCGTAATGTCCTACCTGACTTTTCGTTCTTAAGAAAGCATTTACTAGGTCTGTTTTGGTCTGTTGTAACTCTTTTTCTTGACTTTTCACAACAGTTGCTCTAACGGCGTCATAGGCACTTTGAACTGCCTGTCTCGTTGCTGCATCTGTTATTTTCGTCATATTTTGTGCTACTTCTTTTAACTCGTTGTCGAAACCTTCAGACTTCAGTTTCTTTCCAGATGAGAAGTCGTTCACTTGTTTCACCTTACTATGAAGAGCTTCGAAGGCGTTCTTAAAGTCAGCATTTGTTAAAGCTTCATTTGAACTGTCTTCATCCGCTTGTATTTTTGTCCTTATTGACCCTATGAGTTGGGCTGCTTTAGCGTTGGCTTGGGCATCTAACCAGTCATTGTTGGCTTTTATATATTCTGCGCTTTTCATTGCCTTTTGCATAGCCGCGTCGTTATTTTTACTTTCTTGTGCTAAGTTTTCATACTGTACGGTTTGGTTTTGCAACTGTAAAAGTTTTTCTGCCTTTACATTTGCTTCAACTTCTTTTTTATACTCATCGCTATCCATATATGTCTTCAGGGCTTTTTGTTTTATTTCTTCATCTTTCAGTACTTTATATTGAGTAGTATGGTTTTTCAAATTTATGACATCTTGTTCCATTTTTGCTACTTCTGCTGCTTTTTCTGACACTTTTTTCGCATATTCCTCTGTACTTAGTTCTTTCAGTTGTTCTTCTTTCTTCTTTTTCTCTACGTTTAACTCATTGAGTTTCTTTGTGTGTCTGTCATATTCTAGTTTCTTTTCGTTTTCACTTATTTGTTTCTGTATGTCTATGTTTGACTTTTTGACATCTGTTATTTGATTTTTGAGTGAACTCAAATTCATTTGACTTTGAGGGTTATAAGCTGTTCCGTCTGCAGCTCCACCATAGCCTGCCATTTTCGCTAAAAGTGCCGCTCTTAAACCTCCACTCTGTGCACCAATAACTCGGTTTAAAAGCATAGGGTTGCTTGACATTTGTTGCAACATAGTGGGGTCATTCAGCATTTGTTGTTGCAACTGTTGTTGTGGTGTCAGTTTTACTATTGGATGTTTCAATGCTCTCTTCCTCTTACGTATATTCTTACGTAGCTTACGTGGCATTTTAAGTGAAGTTAAAAAGCGGTTTTTGACAGATGTTTATATGACACTTTTTGTTCAGCACAAAAAACTACTCGGTCAACAGCGACGACTCTCAAAAACCGTTGTGTAAAAAGTTTTACCGTTGGACAAAAAAGTATATATAGAAAACAAAAAACGTTTATAGTTCATTCAATATTTGAGATGGAACGGTTTTCCAACGGTAACTATTAAATAAAATAAAAAAATAGAGGGGGTCTCCGTTGACGAAAACGGTTTATTTTAAACTTTTCTATGAGTAGTCCGAAAAAAACAGTTTATTTTTGTCTAATGGAAGGAAGAAAAAGTGTCGCAAACAATTCGTCGACTACCTCTGCAGTTAAAGTTCCTACAACTTATGTCTCACCATTCTCAAAACCCTTACAACCTCCTATAATACCAAAGCAACTTCCTCATACAATTGCAAACAATTCGTCGACTACCTCTGCAGTTAAAGTTCCTACAACTTATGTCTCACCATTCTCAAAACCCTTACAACCTCCTATAATACCAAAGCAACTTCCTCATACAATTGCAAACAATTCGTCGACTACCTCTGCAGTTAAAGTTCCTACAACTTATGTCTCACCATTCTCAAAACCCTTACGACCTCCTATAATACCAAAGCAACTTCCTCATACAATTGCAAACAAATTGTCCAACAATTTGAGTTCTTCTTCTCAAAACACAACAGATACAGCTCAGCCAACAGGTCAAGCAACAACAACTATCGGAACAGAAGCATTTTCAGAAGAAGTTCATACCAATCAGACTCCAATCGAACATACAGAAACACAACCACCCGAAAATACAGAAACACATCCAATCGAACATACAGAAACACATTCTGCAATGACCACTAGGTCGCAAACACGATATCTCGCCTTTTGCAAACAATTTAAGTCTCAAATTCAAGACACACAAGATAGCGACACTCCTCTTTCAGAGAAAGTTCGTAGAAAATACGCAAAGCAAAGGTTAGAATTGTTAGATAAGTTAAATGAACAGTGGGGTTCAGAAGACAATCGAGATTATAACGAGATGTTTCAAGCTGTCATGGATGCCATTCAGCCTCTTGAAAACGAAATCAAAGACCCTGGCGTACTTGTTGACATGTTTGCTTCATATTTACCCGTTACTGCCAATCTCATAGCGTTGCAAGCTATTGACCAGTTCATTCACTTGTTTCCAAAGAACTTGCAGAAGCATTTACAAGAAGTTAAAGTTGCTGAATTTGTCCGTTTATATCCAAATTCATACAATTATTTGGAAGAATTGAATGAACATGGTGAAAGGTCATTCTATTTATATTTCTACACAAAAGACAACCAGTCAAAACGACTATACTGCATTGAACCTATGCCTCAATTCGTAGACAATTTCCACGTTATAACAACTGTTGCTTTAGATATTCCTGCCAGAGTTCCATATGGAGGAACAGTAACTATCTCAAGCTTTCCCAAGGGCTATAAAGGAAAGCCTCTCACAATTGCAAAATTCACACACAGCAGTTGCCAATTTGTTCAAGATGTCGAGTTCCATTTCCTCAACAATACGACTTTCATCATAGAGACTCCTCAAGAAGGTATATACAAAGTTTTCATTGCAGGATTTGTTGATCCCAATGGCGAAGAAGAAGAAGTCGAAGAAATCCTCACCTCAGAGAGCGAAGAAGAAGAAAATTTCCAAGACATTCAAGATTCAGAATATACCGAATAAAAAAACAATTTAAGACTAAAAATTTAATTTTATTATAATATTTTATTTTTTTCATCTGGTCTTTGTCTCATTCCTCCTCTAGTTTCTTAGGGGCTAGAGGGCACGAAGTGCCTGGAAGCCCCACTACCTTTTTTTTTTTTTTTTTTTTTTTTTTGCATGATAGCTTGTTTTGCTTATTAAAACTTGATATAAACAATTTTTAAAAATTTTTGAGAAGTTTACGAAAGTCATGGCCTTTCGTTTTTAATGTCTACAGTCCAGACAGAACGTGCCTTCCAAAAGCAGCCACAGCTTTTCCTTGCTTCCAAGAAGCATGCTAACGCTGAGAAGAAGCAACGCTATGTTAAGTCAATCGGCCTCAAAATCGAAACACCAAAGACAGCCGAGGAACGTGAATACATCGATGCTAAGTGCCCATTCACAGGCACAGTCTCCATCCGTGGCCGTGTTCTCCGTGGTGTCGTCGTTTCTACAAAGATGCGGCGCACAATCATCATCCGCCGCGATTATCTTCAGTGGATCCGCAAGTACAAGCGTTTCGAGAAGCGCCACACAAAGATCCCAGCTCACATCTCCCCAGCTTTCCTCGTCAAGGAAGGCGATCTTGTTACAGTCGCTGAATGCCGCCCACTCTCCAAGACAGTCCACTTCAACGTTATCCACGTCAAGCCAGCTGCTGTCGGTGCTGACAAGAGACAATTCCGTGTCTTCTAAAAATTATTCTCTATTTTAGAGTATTTATACGAAAAACCATTACCTTTTTATATTAATGTGCTTAAATATTATCAAAATTCCTTTCAATTTCATCATCAAATTCAATTTCGAGAAATAAATGATTACAAACCAAGAATCAAATAAGATAATATGATAGACTAATTTTATTCAAACATCATCGAATAATAAAACAATAAAATTAAATATAAAAAATTATTCAAAAAAAGAAATCATTGGAATGAATAGGATGGAAAATCTTTGATGATTTCACGTTCATTTCCTTCATTAATTCGTGAAATTTAATTTTATCATTTTTCTATAACTGATCAGCTAATTGTTCTGATGAAAACATTCTTACAGTAGTTTTCATTGTTTTATCATAAGGAGAATGGAGATATGAAAAAATATTAACCAAAAAAATTAAAATTGCATAGTAAAGTATGAATCCGAAATTTGTCCGGCCAATTTTCTTGTTTCTTGAGCAAAGAAGCATGAGAATATAAAATCCTAAACCAATTAAAACTGTAGTTAAATATGCGTTGAATTTATAACGTTCTGATGTATCGCACGCGTATGTAGCCCTCAGGATACTTATAATTATCAAGATTGCAGCAAAAACTGAAATAATAATTTTTCCAATATGTAAAATTTGGGAAACTTTTGGAGTTATGTGGAAAGGAATGAGATCCAAGCTTAGTAGATCCGAACAAATGATATTATATGCAAAAACTATAATAAAATCTGTTATCATCACAAATAATCTTTTGAAGAAGAAACAACAGCCTTTTGGACAGTTTCTGTGAACGAGGGAGTCAAACAATACAATAATAAAGAATTTGATGTATGAAAACAGTAAAGTTTCGGTGAAAATTGTAAAAATAATTCCTAATTGACTTGGATCGAAGAATTCTAGTATATATAAGGGATGAGCTGCAAAAACGCATAGTATTAATAGCATGAAAGTTAATTTTTGCTCTAAATGCCATGTTCTGTAGCTTGATCTTGATAAGAAATCCAAATATTTGATTAAACACCTTATTGATTGATGTGCTAGTAAGCACCTAACGAAAAATTGTAATAGTGGTGCATGCGGATGTCCGTATTGCCATTTAATCGTAATTCCTGTACATGATTCGATTTTATTTTCGAGTTTAACAGCAATTAGTAAAGTATCAAAGTCAGTACATAATCCACTGAATATTTCAGCGAAATCTGTAACTAATTCTTGAGAATCTAATTTCAATTGCCTAAAAATACGTTTTGAAGGAATTTCGTCAGCAGTTTGTATTTCATTTTTGAAACTCTTAGCGGATACTGTAAATCTGGCATCAATTAAATCATTTGAACTGCTATCATCGAGATCTAATGATAAATAAGCTTTGACAAAATAATTCCATTTCGAAATATTTGAAATTTTGAAGATAGATTTAGTCTGATTGTCTTTAAATACTGAGGATGTTTCAAATTCGTGTTCTCTTTGAGGAGAAAGGATACCGCCAATGATTGCAAGTACGAAAATCAAAATTGACATGCTAAAACAGAAAATCAGATCTTTCTTGGTCAATATATCCAAGTACATGAGCTTCTCTTGACCCAAGTGATCTTCAATCTGTATCAAAGTCATACGATTATCATCTTCGTTTTCCATTTTTTTGTGAAATCAAATAAAATTTCTGACATAATTTTTGTCAAATCTCGAATTTTGACACTTAACAAAAATCTTAAGATTTCCTCATCAGGTGAGGATGTCATATGGTGAAAAGACTAAAATATGAATGAGGAACTAAAACAAAGCTAATTTTCATATAAAACAAATAATACAACCTCTTTTTTAAACTTGAAATCATATTCTTCATGTTTGTCTCTCAAAATTTGAGCGAATTGAAAGGTTTACACGGGAAGAATATGATATCAAGTATAGTAGGTAGATTCTTTAGCTGGTTTTTGGGGACAACACATTCAAATTCGAAATTTGGCATCTGCAAAATGCAATGACATAATTCCTCGTAATTTAATGTTTTTATATGTATTATGAAGTATCCATTTATTCCACATAATATAGATATATAATATTTTTGACACTTTACAAATTATTTTTGACATTATACAAGTTTGTCGGATCCCAGAATGTCCTCCAAGCTACATCCTAATGCAAAAATATTTATGACTTTCGCACGGACAAATTAAATTATGAAAAAATGATTTTAGGCTCTCTTTTCATAGGTAGTTCATGGTAATGAACATAATTATACCAATTAACTGGAGCAGATGTACTCATTCCTTCGATGTATTGGAAATTAATAGTATGAGTATCGCATCGCCTGTAAACGAGGATTATGTTTCGAATGTCCTCATTGTAGCTTACATAATAAACACTTCTGTTAATCTATTGATTCTGATTATCTTTTTCAAATATTGGATTGATGACATTCCAATCATATTCAATTTCATAATCTTTGAGAACTGAAATATTGGCGTTTATAGTATATTGTAAATTATAATTAGTTTGAACTGCAACAGCATTTAATAATTGCTCAACTGATTTAAAATTGTTTTGAACTGTAACAATGGAATAAACAGAAGCGTAGTGTTTGTTTGGAAAATATCCAATAGATGCGTCTGGTTCACCATCACAAATAATATAATTCATCAGGATGATGAATGAATTGAACTTATCAAGAAGTGTAACAATAATTGATCTCCGGTTAGAGTAATAAATCTGTTTTGTTGTTATTCCGAGTCTTATTTTGAGCAATGAAAGGCTGCGATGGGTAAATTCATCATTAAGAGCCCGATTTTGGACTAATCGTAAATCACTAAAAGTATTCAATTTAAATTTTAAGGGCTCGCTCCAACGATAGGTAAACTCATTGTCACATTTTTATGATTTTTCATCTGATATCTATTTTGATACCGAATTCTCTAAAATTCTGAGAAAAAGCAACTTGGGTTCAAATGAAATATCTAAATAATATATGTTCTATATTTTAAAATTAAATAAAGGGCTAATATGATTGAATGAGATGTAGAGATAATGATATATGAAATTGATATTATAATATATAGATGTACATATGAAATTCGCAACTGATATTAAGGTTTAAATACTGAAATACTATTCAAAAATGTTGTAAAAAGAAGAAAAATAAAATTGAATACCCATTTTAAAATTCAAATGAATGAAGAGAACTCTGTTTCATGGAACTATGATATGTTTATTGATCATTTTCGGGATTATGCTGATATTTATGATTCTTTATATAAGATAATAGAATGCTCAGATGAAGAAATTAACGGAATTTTTCAAGATATCAAAACAATTTTAATTGAAAAATATAAAGTAAGCCCGTCAGAGCTTTTAACGGATATTTCCTATATGGCTCATTACCGATTGAAATATACAAAAACGTATTGGTCGATTTTCAAAAAGATTTATGAAGAATTTCGACCAAATATTTCAGAAAATACATTTTTCATATTCAAAAACCTCGCTTCTGAAGTATATGGAATCGAAATAAAGAAATCTCCATTAAATTGCACTTTGGATATCCATGAAGAGAAAACGATTTTTCGAGCAATAATGGATGATGACAAAAATTTATTTATTTCATTCACAGAAATGGAAGGATTTGATAAAGACCAATTGCTAATAAATGACGCATATCCTTTAGCAGAAGAAGGATATTACTTGATTGAACTGTGTTGCTATTACGGGGCAGTTGATTGCTTTAAATTATTAAGATCAAAATTCAACTCAGAAATCACAGAAAAATGTCTCTATTTCTCATTTTTAAGTGGAAATATGGAGATTATGAATGAATGCTTGAAGTTTCAAACACCTGATTCGCAAAGCATGGAATATGCAATTATTTCTCATAATATAGACTTTGTATCATTTTTATGCAATGAATACCATATATTATCAAAATATTTGTGCTTTCTTTATGTATTTAGATCTAACGCAAAATATGGGCAGGTGCTTTGTATATTCTCCAGATTTTGGCACACCATTTATTTGTGAATTTTTACTAAAACAAGGGGCAAATATTAACGCTAGATTAAATTCCGGTCAAACAGCTCTTCATGCTTCATCATACAATAATAAAATTGAAGTTCTAAAATTTCTAATTTTGCATGGAGCAGATATCAATTCAAAAAATAATGATGGATATAATGCACTCTATGTAGCAGCTAAGAAAAATTGCAAAGAAATAGCTGAATATCTAATATCACACGGTATTGATTTCAATGCGAAAAGCAGATATGGATACACACCTCTACATGTTTCAATAATGTATCATGCTGGAGATGTAATTGAAACTCTTTTATCATTAAATATTGATATTAATGCAATTGATTTGAAAGGTCAAACAGCACTACACTATGCCATAATTTATAATTACAATGAAATTGAAAATATTCTTATAAAAAAGGGAATTGATGAAAATATAGGGTGTCCAAAGGTGTGTTTAGCACAAACCTGAATACTGCGAATAGAAATAAACAAGTTACATATATATAAAGTTTATTTAAATATAATCACCATTGGATTCAATCACGCGTTCGCAGCGATCGATCCAGGCTTGAAAGACACGCTTTAAATCATCATGAGAAAATTGCTCAAATTGCTCTCTTACAAAATTTTCAAGATCATCTGGACTCGCGAATTCGCGTCCTTCAGCTCTCTTTTTTAGCGCGCCGAATAAATAAAAGTCAGAGGGTGCAATATCAGGTGAATAAATTGGGTTTGGAACAACTTTGACATTGTTTTCCACCAAGTAATTCATTACCTTATGACTTTTGTGAACTCTTGAATTATCAAAATGAATTGCAAACTTTTGTTTTTGTTGTTTGGATTTCTCAAACTCATCAGAATTGATAATTTGAGTAAGAACATTGTCAATTAGATACTGAGCATTCATCGTATTAGGTTTTTGAAGAATATCAATTGCGATGATGCCATTCACGCCCCAAAAAACCGACAACATCATCATTGGTGTGTCAATTTTTTTCTTCGGGAATGTTTGCGGATTTTCATCCTTCGGGATCCACATGATTTTGGCTTCTGTTGCATATTGAAACCAAGACTCGTCCCCTGTTATTAAAAAGCGAAACTTCTTGGATTGATACGCACCCAATATAGAGAGGAGCTCTTTCGAAGATTGGACTCTAGATTTTTTTTGAACTGAATTAAGGTTGTGCGGAACCCAACGTGTATACGCTAGTTTGTAGTTCAAATAATTGTGCAGATAATAACTGACTGTTGTACGTGGTATCTTTGTCATCTCCTCTATCCTTCTGAGTGATGCTCTTGGGTCTTCATCTAGCGCTTGAAGAATTGCTTTGATTTTTCTTTGATCCGGCGATTTTTTGTCAATTTTTATGATGGGCGCCTTTTTGTTCATGAAGTGATACATCCTAACATGATACCTTACAGTGGAATAGCTAGGAGCATCCATACCGAAGCAGTTTACCAATGTCTCGTAGATTTTTTTACAGTCTTTGCATTTTTTTGCAAGAGCGAGGATGTTTTCTTTATGATTCATTAAAAAAATGAAAAAAATCCCGCCAAAATTTCCCGCGAAACCGCCTCTTGTCTCAAAATTCATTTTATATCCCGGCATGGCGCCAAAATACAACATACTCATCATATACATATATTCATATTTTTTATTATATATTTATAATCAGCATATATCTCCTTTAATAGTCTCATATAGAGCGCTGTGCTAAACGCACCTTTGGACACCCTATATCAGAAATAATAATGGTCAAACTGCCCATCAAATAGCAGAAAACAAAAAGAAGATGTTCAAAAGATAATAATTGTTTAACATGTTACTATTCTATGTTATCATTGTCATTGTTGTATTCAAAATGATTTGCTTTGATAATTGTAGCTGTTATGAAACAATCAGAAATGAAACCATTTAAGAAGATCAGAACTCTCCAAAGAGCTTTATATTCATTCTCTCGTTGGTAATAATGATGGGTTGGAGATAACAATCAATAAAGAAAAACAATTTTAAGATATTTAAGGATAGATTCTATTTAGAAATGGCATATCGGCCTTTTTTGTAAGCAACTTGAATAAAAGGAATTTCACACATTTCATAATCGAAATTCCAACAAGAAGATAAAAATAAAATATATAAAACAAATCTAGAAATAATCAGAAAATTCTTGGCTAGTTGGTTGAGATGGAGTACTTGGATCAAGATCGAAGTCGTATTCAAAATTTGAGAAATTTGGGTCCATTGGTGAGATGATGAAAGGATAAGGATATAAGTTTTCGGGGGGCAAACCCCCTTCATATGATTGAATATTTGGAACTGGGCAAATTGCTTGAACGTATTTGGGCTGTTCAATGTTTAATGGGGGGCATTGAGAAGTTTTTTTGTTCTTAGCTTTGCTTTGTAATTGATGAGCTTGAGCAGCTTCACTAGCATCTTTTCTAAGATTGGCACCGATTTTTCTAAATTCTTCGATAGAAATGATTCGTGCAGTGTCGAATTTGATGTTGCCTTTGTCAACCTCAACCATTGTATAGCCATTGTCTCCTGGGTTTCTGAAACAAAGTATCTGTGCAAATACAGGATATTTCATCTTGAAAAAATGAGTAAAATGAAAGAAGACCGTTGAATAGAAATTTCAATTAATTTGTTTTTCTGAGTGTGGTTTCTACTATTTGAGAAATAAAAAACTTAAAAATATATTCTATATCTATAAATGGATATTTCTATCTTTGGTTACATGGTTTGTTAAATTTTATCAAAAATTGAATACTTTTGTATCATATCAAAATTTGACAAAATTCTTACACCTTGTCTTTATGGAAAAAGATTTTATGAAATACGTTTTTCTATTGCGATAAATTACTGAATTATCCATCTTCTGTTATAAGCAGTTATAACTAGTTATAAGATACTGTTATTTGCATATCATATATGGTAGTAAGTATTATGAGCAATATTCAATGTATATAACCTGGACAAAATACATATCACTTGAGAACAAAATTATGAATACTGTATACACTTAATAAAATTAATTTAAAAAAAATCTTGAATTATACAATTAAATATATACTATATGGTGATGCATGTATTAAAAAGCTATAAGTTAAATTTGAATTTTTCCAAAGATATCTTTTCAATTAAATAAAATAGTGTAAAAAAATCATGACATAAATAATTTATTCCGAAAAAATTATAAACAACAAAAAAAGTGAATTAAAAAAATCAAATTAAAAAATCATCAGCAGTATCTTGATTAATTGAAGAAATAATGTTTCCCAATTGATACAAAGATTTGTCTTCGGGTATTTTGGCTCCTGTCTGCAATGTATCTAATATTTCCATTGAAATATTAAAAGGATCTTTTCCGAAACCATCTTCAATTGTGGTGATCATCGTATTCATGATATTATTGAGTTCATCTAGTTTTGATCCAAGCTCTATTTCGCTTGCTTCTTTAACTTTTAATTTTTGATTCGATAATGTTCGAATAAAAGAGAATTCTGAGTAAAGAAAATCATTTCTTTCATATACTTGTATTCGTGCATTGAATGTTTTTGGTGAATTCATCCTTTTTAATGGTAATAATTTTTTTCAAAGAAGGAAGGCTGTCGTTTGATAAATCTAGCCTTTGGATATCATTCTTGGGTGTTTGTATTGATCTCAGGCTTGCAATTTCAAGTAATCTAGAATATAAATTAATGAAGCTTGTTTTTGAAGGCAAATCGATGTTATCTAGAGATATTTCTTCTAATGATGGAAGTTCGTGAGCTAGTTTGATGATAGATTGAGCTCCACTATCACCTAAACGAGTATTCATAAAAGAAATTGAAGTTAACGACTTACAATTGGTCAAAGAGTTAATAAAACTTACATAACTCTGTGGAGTACCTCTTAATTTGTCAGAACTTATGTCAATTCCTGATAATCTACTTTTGACAATAAAATCTGCAAGAAGAGGTAAAGTTACGTTGGTATTCTTCCTAAAACAAGCTCTAACTCCAAGATATAATAAATTCGTTTGAGTTTTCAAGAACTCGATAAAAGAATTTACTGAATTTTGGTCAATTGAAAAACCATGGAAATCAAACTCAATAATATCTGGTTGTGGGCTTATTTCAAGTAGTGTATTCATGTACAATAGTGATTGGTCGCTGTTCATGAATCCTTGGAGCCCAAAAACACATAATTTTTTTCGTTTCTTGGATAAAATCGATGCAGCAATTCCTTTTAATGCTTCTTGTGATAAAATACAATCTCTTATGATTAGAACAACAATGTTTTCCGATGAACTTTCCATTGTTGTCGCTTCTTTCATAGTACATTTATCAATTTCAATGTGATTTAGGTTTTTATGGCGCAAAAGTGCCTTTACATGCTTTGAAACATCGCCATTTATGTTGTTAAGGTAAATTTCTTTGATTTTTGTGAACATTTGAAATATATTTTCGAATTTTTCTGGAATTATATCTTCAAATGAGGCATTTTCAAGGGAAAATGACGTCAAATGTTTGAAACAAGGGTATTCTGCTATTATGTTCATTAAATTCAAACTATCTATGTTGTTTAGAGCACAATTACTTATAGATATTGATTTAATTTTTCCTTTATAGTTTTTGAAGCCATTTAAAACACTGAATACGAATGTAGTGATGCAATTACTTATATTAATTGACTCAAATCTGCATTGAGGACCTAAAGTAAAATTAAATTCGTTTTGGCTCGAAATTCTATAGTTTGACAGATGTAATGCTCTGAGAAAGATACTGTTACTAACAACTTGTGATGCAAAGTTAACGATATGTTCAGGCGAAAAGCTTTTTAAAATTAATGAAAACAAATTTGGATCCCAGGCTATTGCTTTTGTAAAAGCATTGATATTTTGTATTCTTTCAGTTGATGATTCAAGTGTTATTGATGATACTGGGTTCCTATCCCAGTTCTTGAATACTTTTACATTTGATGGAATTGTTTTCACTTTGTAATGATGTGCAAACGCGAGAAACCTTGTCTGTAGGAGTAAAATAGGTCGTTTAGTAAGTTCTTTATATGTAATCAAGTTCTCTGGGAGTGATTCAACAACTAAATCAATGTTATTGATTTTAAAGTAGATAATTGAGCATTGAGCAAGTATTGAATTAGCAAAAGTAAACGAATTTGTTGTTTGTAGATGATATTTCTGGTCAACAAAATTCAAAACTATTTCATTTGGTTCTCTGTAGAATATTTTTGCCAAATCTAGAATGGAATGAGATGACTCGAGTGATACATTGTCATTATCTATGTTGAATTTGTATAATGCAGCATTTGTTAAAATAATTATTGATTTTTGGCGATTTACTGTCAAAAGATCTAGACCATCTACATGTGCTACCGATGATTCTTCAGGAAATTGGAAAAATGTCGAACATTTCTTTAAGAAAGTTGACATGAAGAAAGAATTGGAAGCAATTATACAAATTGAGTTATGAAACTATCATATTAATGCTATGAATATAAAAATGTTTATTTATGATTTCATTTTTCAGAATGTTCCTACTTTGTTTTTCGGAAATGAGTCTTCAAAGTAATGAAAAATTGCAAAAGAAGTGCAATGATGAGCCTTCTGACAATAATGAAGATTGTTGGAAATGTAATTCAAGCTGTCACAGCATGGCCGAGTGTGTTTATCCAGGAAATTGTATTTGTATGCATGGTTTAGAAGGTGATGGAGTCAATAATTGTAGTGTCCCAGTTCCTCATATTGATTTCGCCAAGGTTTCCGAGCAGAGTGAAAACTTTCCGCTCTTTGTCACAATTAATTATTCCACTCCCAACAATTTCACGCCTTCAAATGGATATGGCTTGTTTAGAGATCGGGTCTTAACTTGTTTTCTTAGCGGATATCCATGGATTATATGTCAAGTTCCATGGTCATTTCATGGAAAATTTGATATTCAGATATCTTTTGATGCCATTCGATGGAGTAATAAGTATCCAATATCATTTAAGCAAGCTGCTTCACCACAGCCTCTTCCTCCGTTGCGTCTTCATAGCCCAATTCCTCGAGAAAAACATCAATATCCAGAAATTAAGTTTCCAAGAAGCAAAATCTTGTTAATTGGATTAGTTGTTTTAATAGTATTCGTTTTAGATATGATTATTCATGCTAAAAGAGTTCCAAAGGCCCTATTACCTGTATCAAATTCAATAAGATCTACATTCAACCGGAAAAGTACTCATTAACTAATATAATTGTGTCAATTTATGTAATTTGTTCAATAGAAATGCAAAGATGATTTCAAATAATTTTTATCAAAATTATTAATTGAAATCAAAAGAAATTGGAAATGAAATTTATCTTATTACTTCAATGATGTCTTAAATTCATTGTTAGAAGAGGAATTTCTGTTCGATGAAAAGTGACGAAATTGATGTGTTGAATGAAAATTTTTAATGAGTGAAGAAAAAATTACCTCTGATGATCTCATTTTCCAATATGGCATTGAAGAAGGTGATAATGTTGATTGGGAGAAGGTAGCCAAGATGATTGGACCATCAGTTACCGCGGAACAAGTCAAAAATAGATTTAATCAGCTTTGTTACAACATGGCAAGATGGTCAGAAGAAGAAATCAGGATCCTTAAAGAACTTAAAGGAATACAAAACAAGTCTGAAAGGAAAGCGCGCATTCAAGAACATTTTCCAAACAGATCTTACAAATCCTGCATTGTTAAACTGAATAGGTTATAACAAATAGTAAAATTTATTATTTACTTTAAATGAACTTCTTGTTTATAAGCTTATTTCTTTAATAATTATTACTTTTTCTAATAATAAATTTTGAATTTCTGAATAAAACGCATTTCTCCTCTAAATATGCTTAAATTCTGTTATTCCATAGAGCTTTGTTGTTAATTCTAGTTGATTAATGACTTTTTTGTTAAAATAAAAACAGAATTTTAAAATATTTTGACTTTAGTTATAAAAACATACATAAATTTTTAAACACGGAAGTATCTGGCCCAAGAGATGATGTTATATGGGAAGTTCGATGTAGAATAATTTGGAGATGCCATTTTTGCAGCGTATCCAGCGATAACTGGCATCATAATAGACTTTCTACCTGTTTCATTCTTCAAATTAAGAATATTCACGAAGCTTTCTCCGACAGAAAGAAGAGTTTGTGAATGATTTTTCATTAATTGCTTCAAAACGAGAGGATCTATGGTATTAAGTTGGATGGATCTCTCGACAGCATTTGGAGATAAGCCAAGCTTTGGTGCAAGCTTCAATGCGGCATCTCTATTCTGATAAACAATTGAATGATGAAGTTTAATTAAGTAATGAATGTCTTCTTTCGAAACAGGAGTAACAGAAGAATATCTAGCAAGTGCGATTCCATTATATCCTGCAAGAACATTTCTTGAAGAAATGTCTGGTAAAGAAAGATTGTATTTTGTCAGCAAATTTGCCCAGAAATCAGCAATATTAACAGCAACATATGATGGAATACTGCTCTCAAGCGGTGGAGGCATTCTGTCTGTAATCATAACGTTTCTTCCGCAATAATTAGTTAATGGAGCGGGAACTGAAATGGAAATTGGAGCACGGCGTGCTCTTGGGAATATAAATGCAGGATCTGATGATTTGGTGTCGATTCCAAGCTTGTTGAGAATAAGATTTCTTGAATTGACTTCTTTTATCAAATTAAAATCTAAACGACGCATAATTGTATCGTAAATTGATTTCTCTCTGGATATGAAAGGAACAATCATCATAAATCCTCTTAAAATCTTGAAAGGAAGAAGATCTAAAAATCTCATTCTGTCAATATGAGGAGGAAGGACTGTAATTGTAACTTTTTGACCTGTTCTAAGAACAGCATTATGGTAAATTAATGGACCGCATGTTTTGTACTCTGGTTCAACTTTCAAAACGATTTCATTGAGATTATAGCCTGTTTGGCGGGTAAATATATTTCTCAATTCTTCAAGTGAGTATCCGGATGTTGGTTTGTTATCAATAAATTCATCAAAAACTTGAATTGTATTTTTTCCTTTTATTACTGGATAACACTGATTAATTTTGTAGTAAGGACTTGTATATGGTGTTTCTGGTAATGCATTGACGCAATTACGTATTATTTGTCCAAATTCAGCATAAACGCCTCCATTTAATCGTAAAGTAAGCATCATTCGTTTATAAAATCTTTGTTTTGATGCAAGGGAAGAAAATTCTGGTACTTTTGGTAAAATTGGATGCATAATTTTCGAAATAACCATATCTGTCGATGAATATCCAAAATTAATGGCTAATCGTCCGAAGTGGTATATTGAAGATGCAAATTGGCGCACAAACCAACGAGAATTTTGATTCTGTATCAGCCAAAGCATTGTATTATTTGATCCAATTGCCCAAAAAGCATCACTTGTTGTATCATCTAAGATCTTTCTAGATTCTTCATGATGAAGGATGTAATCTATGCCAATATATTTCAATAAATCAGTAAAGGTGTTGGAATGAGATACTGACATCTTGAAAAAAATGTCATGATATCACTATTATCTTATTACTTTTCAGAACAACTATAAAATTGAATTCATGTTTACATGTTATTTTTCAGCTTTTCTCAATTATATTTTGAATCAAAATTATTGATGAGAACGAATTCTCATTTAGATATGTTTCAATATGTATTATATAGAATTTATCTCCATCTAATGAATCCGGTAAGTACTGATGTTTGATTTTTACGAAGTTGCATTATTATTGATGTGTTTATAAAAAATCTTCATATAATAAAAAAAATTCTTTTACCGAAACTGAGATAAGGTTTACCAGCTGTCAAGATGCATTGTACCCTTCTTCTTGAGATTATCCTGCATCTTGAAGACCTTTGAGAGGATTTGTGGCTCGTGGCCAGCCCCCTTTGGTTGAGTTGCTTGAATTGCGAGATTGAGATATTCACGCATTTGATCCTTGTAGTCTGGATGAACTGTCTTCTCGATCATGAGTCTAGCACGTTCAACTGGAGCGAGACCACGGAGATCTGCAAGACCTTGTTCTGTTACGATTACATCGAGATCGTGCTCTGTGTGATCGACGTGTGTGCACATTGGAACAACACATGAAATACCTGTCTTGTCCTTCTTTGTCTTTCTTGCAGATGGGCAATGCATGATTGAGATGTAACCGTTACGGAGAAAGTCACCAGATCCACCAAGACTATTGACAAGTCTTGTGCCGTTAATAAGTGTGGAATTGGCATGACCGAAAATATCGACTTCAACTGGTGTGTTCATAGCGATAACGCCAAGACGACGAATAACTTCTGGAGAATTGGAAATCGCCTGTGGGCGAAGAACAAACTTGCTCTTGTAGAAATCGAAGTTATTGTAGAGCTTATCCCATTTGGAGAGTGTAAGTGATGTAGCTGAGCCAAATGTGAGCTTTCCGGAATCAAACATTGGGAGCATAGCTTCTTGGAGAACTTCGGTATATACAGTAAGGTTGCCGAATGGGGAATCGTTAAGACCATCAACGACTGCATTTGCAATATTTCCGACACCCGACTGGAGTGGATACAAGTTCTCTGGGAGACGGCCTTGCTTTACTTCGTTCTGGAAGAAATCAACAATATGACCAGCGATTGCTTTTGCTGTATCATCAGCACCTTTTACTGGTCTGCCTGGGAAGATAGCATGAGATTCGACAACAGCAACAACCTTTCTTGGATCTATCTTGACAGACTCTGTGCCAATGCGAGAATCAACGGATGTAATGTTGAATGGTTTACCCGGAGGCTTCCATGGTGTAACAATATCATGGCATCCCTTGAATGATGGAATTGCTGTATTAAGTTCGATGATGATCTTGTCAGCAGCATAAAGGAATTCAACAGCTGAACCAACAGCACCTCCAAGAACAATTGAACCATCAGCTAAGATTTCTGTAGCTTCAACAATGGCGAGATCAATGCCACCGCCGCGTTGCTTCGTGTAGAATCCCCATGTAAGATCTTGTGGAAACATGGAGAGATGTTTATCGGCAAACATCGTCTTACCGAAGTTAATGTTCTTCTTTAGATTAGCACCGTTTTGATATGGATAACGGCGTGCAATCATTCCATTCTTTGCCCAACGGTCTTCATTCTTAGCTCCAGATGATGCTCCAATGAACATGCTAAAGCGGAGTTTTCCTTGAAGATTGTTCTTCTCAACATATTCTGAAAGAGCTATTGGAACAACCTTTGGATCACCAACTGGTGTGAAACCTGACCAGCCAATTGACATTCCATCTTTGAAGATTGGAATTGTATCTTCAGCTTTGCAGACCTTGGAAAGATATGGCTCGTGTGGGCACCTTGACTTAAGAGATGCAATTGCACGTGAAGAGGATGACAACATTAAAAATGAATGTTTTTGAAAGGAGGCAAAATTTGAGATAAAAACTCATCCACTCTCAATTCGGTTTTGTGATAAATGCTAGCGGTACTTCACATTTTGTTATAATAATAATGTAAATACAGATTACATCATCTAAAATATGATTCAAAAAATTCCCATAAATTGAATAAATTGAGAACTGTTAACGGTTATTTATTGAAATTGAGAAGGAGAATCAACATCAAATAAAAATGAGATATGAATTTTACTTGATTAAAAATTATTCTCGGTTCTTGAATAATACTCGGTTCTATAATTTTGAATAGGGTTTTCAATTTTTTATCTTTTATCTAACTTGAACTCATTTCTCATTGGATAAATTAGCCAAAATTTATCTGAGCAAATACAATGACTTGGTGTTACCATTTTTGCAGATTTGTTGCCAATTTTCTTCAACGTCCATACAAGCAAGCGACCAAATATTGGCTCCAATATTTAATTAGATAATAGATTTCATCTTTTCAGTTAACAGAATATTAAACTGGAGAGATCAATCAATAAAAAGTTAAAAATCTTTAATTATGACATTATTATACTTATTTCTCAAAAATTTAATATTTTATCTCATAACTATTGCATAATTCTCTTGATTTTAAAAATTGATAAATTTTCATGATGTGATATATCTTACATTCAATGGCAAAATAAATACTTGAAATATAAGTAATACTCCACACCACATTTCAGGCCATTTTTTATGAAGTTTATCAAAAAAAGATATGAAGGAGAAGATGAAGAAATGCCAAAACCGAAAAAGGCTAAGACCAAATGGGATGCAATCAAATTGCATGTATATCTAATAGCTTTTTGCATGCTTCTTTTATATTTCAATATCCGAAGTGATAATTCATATTCTTTAAGTCCTGCATATACACCAGAACCAGTTACATATTTCCTCACTGCAAACACATCATCTGAAATTTTCAAGAAATTGCAAAAGCATGGAGAATTTGCATTTAAATCTTACTTTAACAATTGCCTAGGGCACGATGAAATACGTCCAATAACGAAAAGATGTTTAGATCCATATGGTATTTCTAGTACTCTATTAGAATCTGTTGAAACACTTTACTTATTAAATTTAACTGATTTATATAAACAAGCTTACGACTATATACGCGATAACTTCAGTTGTTACAATATAGGATGGGTTGGAAGAGCTGAATTCTATTCTCGCGTAATAGGATCACTTATCGGATCTTATTTGTTAACAGGCGACAAAATGTTTTATACAAAAATGGCAGAATGCGGACATCTTGCATTTAGCGTTGATAAATTAACGAAATATCCAAAACCATTTATAAATATTCAAAAAAGAGACTACCAATCAAAATCAACACAATTTGGTAACCTTATTAACACCTACACTGCAGGGCTTCCTGAAATGGCTACAATGTATCAATTAACAGGAAACGCAGATTATTTAAATTATTTTACAAGAGTCGCAAGAAAGATTCCTGCACGTAAAAATGGTCTGCCATTTACAGTTTTGCTCAATAAGTTCCTATTTCCTGCTACAATGTATAGTGGTCCAAATGGCTGGATTTCTTCCTTCTTTAATAACTATGTGCTGGCCAATTTAATACACCAAACGCCGGCAACATCACGACAAGTCCGATTTTTCGCTCATTTCCTGAATTTGAATTGCTGGGATGGCTTTTCTTCAACAACTTCATCTTATATGGCCGCTCTTGACACAGAAGCAAAGTTTGACCTTCAAAATGGTGAAAAGAGAATGAGTGAGATTGCAGAGAAGGTCAAAAAATGCAGTTTCGGAGAAATTAGACAAATTTATGAAAATGGATTTCGCTTTGATGGCAATCTAGTTGTTCCTATGTTATACGCTGATGATTTTATGCGCAATCTGACTGCTTACTGTGTCTCAAATGTCTTGGATAACCATACAAGAGAATTTGGCTACACAGGAATTATCCAGAGAGACAAATTAGAAGATGATGATACACAGAGTGCCGAAACTATTAGCTTCTGGCTTAAAATTGGAGCTCTTTCGCTTTCACAAACTGATATTCTTTCAGATTTAATTTTAAATGAGAACGGACATATATTAAGAACATCAGGAACGATGTATTCAGGTTTCAAAGAAACAAGACTTAAGCATAATGATACAAAATTCAAGACTTTTTATGATTATTCTATTTATTTGCCTCCTCCAACGCCAGCACCAACTCCTAACTACGAAAACGAAATGAACAGGCATCATCCGATGCATGATGACCCACAATTCTGGCACCACCATCATCCTGGCGCTTCAGACGATCCAGAAGCAATGAGAGAGTACGAAAGAATGAGAGAACACGAAAGAATGATGAGAGGCCAAGAAGGAATGTCCGGTGATGAAACAATTCATCATCCACATGATGGTGAAGTTCCCCCAAATTATCCAAGGGGTTCCGGCTCGCCGCATCCAGGATTTGAAGGTAGCATGAGACACCATGGTACTGAAGCAGGTGATAACCATCCACGTAATGGAGATTCTGAAACAATAAGAAATAATCCAGATGATACTTCATCAACTACTGGTTCAGATAGTACAAATAGACGAGCTAGACCTGTTGGTTCCAGTCCTGATGTTCCAAATACGAATTATTCGCCAGAAACTTCATCAGATAAAAATAAGATTCCGGATGTGAATAGACCACCAAATACAGATAATTCAGATGATGAAAATCGTATTTCAGATAATAAAAACAAAGAATCAACAGAAAATAAAAATATTAAAATTGAATCATCAAAATCCAATGATTCAGACAACACAGATAACTCAAATGTACCTAATGATCACCATCCTTCAAGATCAAGTGAAAGTTCTTCAGATGAATCTGAAAATCACAAAATAACTCAAAAAGAAAAGGAAAATAACGATAAAGGCCATGAAAAACCTGTTTCTGAAGATCAGAAAAATTCTAAAGCAAAAGAATCCGAAATTTCAAAATCAAAAGGAAGTGAAGACAAAAAAGAAAGTGATGATAACGACGAGATCAAGAGAAAGATAAATGAAGCAGAAAAGAAGAAAAAAGAAAACCAAAAAATATTTGAAAAAGGAATTCTCTCAAGAAAGAACAAAGACAATGAAAGTAAGATGAGATCTAGGAAACAACAAGAAAAAGAGGATCTAGAAAAGAAAAACAAAGAAGAAGAAAAAGATCCAATCAAAGAATTGAAAGAAATGGAAAGAAAGGAAAAGAGTAATGAAGAAATATTAAGGAAAATGAAGGAAGAAAAAGAAAAATCAAAAGAAAATAACGAAAATGACAGAAAGAAGAAAAAATTGAAATTTGATTTGTCACAAACTCAGAATAGAGAAGGAAATGAAACATTCCTGTCGGATAACTCGAATGAAGGTTACAAGAATCGCCAGATTAAGAGAAAACCAAAGAAAGTCAAGTTACAAGATAAACTTCCGAAATCAGGAGAGTTCCAACATAATCTTTACACTGTTCAAAAGAAGAAGAGTAATGATGAAGAAGATCCAGAAGTAGAACTCGGAGAAGTTGATGATTTTGGAGAATATCATGGCGCAAATCCAATTGATAGAATTAGTGGTTTTGGCTAATTCAAATATGATATTAGTTTTTTTATGAATTTATTGTTTATAAATAATCGTGTTTAATAAAATTTTTTTTGGAAATATTGTTTGACTGTTTTTGTGAAATTCCCTACATTTCATTGCATTCTGGCAGCTGTGGTGACATAAACTGTTTAATCACAATTCAATTGTTGTATCTCCAAATTATCAATTTCCAATTTGTTCATAAGTAAATTTAATGTGTACTGCATTTAAGATAATATATCAGTGCTTTCATTTATTATTAATTAAATTTCGTGCCGTATTGATTATAATGAAATTTGTTTAATGGAAAGAGTGAATAGAGAAAAGTGATAATTTTCTATAATCATTGGTTAATTGAAATTCATCGATCTTAATATATGATATCGATTAATGTTAATAAGACAATTCAAAAACCAAATTAATGGAATTGTTGCATCATTAATTTTTGATTGATCATCCATAATCCATATTGCAATATCAAATTATTAATTTTCAAGATTTTTGAAATAAGACATGGAAAAAGGGAGTATATGGTTCACTCTTATTGAATAGAAAAATCGCATCATCCAATTCAAATATTCAATAAAAATCAAATTGTCTTTTTTGCAAAATAAGTATTAAAATATGAAATATGAAACGTTCGTAAGACATGTCACCTGACACTTTTTTCGATAAGACGTTTTTTGACTTCTTTTTTATATTTTGTCAATTTTTCCTCAATAAGACGCTCTTTTTTCAATGCCACCCAAAAATAAAGCTTGGCAACAAAAAGGGAGAGAAAAAGGAATAGTTGCTCCATCAGCAAACACGAAAAAATATAAAAATGGAAAAAGTACAGAAAGAAATCCTTACGTTGAAACAAATCAATGCTTGAGAAAGTTAGAAGACATTAAAAATTCTGCAAAAACAGAAGGAAATGAGTATAATGGCAGTATGATACAATTAATTGATCAAAATTGCCACGATCTTAATTTCATCATTGATTTTATGGCTGGAAGAGCTGATTATCAAATTTTTCATAGCCTAATCCATATGATTGGTGATTTACCTGATGCATTTATGGAAAGATTTCCTCAAACAGTGGCAAATTTATTTTTTGATAGTAATGGATTTAAATTGATCAATACTTTACAGCTATATACAATTAACTATGAAATGGAAGCTGAGTTTGATACGTTACAAAGATTTCTCATTAACATATGTTTTCGAAGCAATGCTTATACAAAAAGTATTTTAGGCATTATAAAAAATCCAAAGATATGGAATTATTGTGATCCAAATAAAGTGAACAAACTTAGGAGAAAACTTGAGAAACTAGAAGTGAAAAATAATCCTGGAGATCTTAGGACTTTTAACATCTTTCCTGATGACATATCTCTACTTAATCCTATAGAAGCCAAAAACTACTATGAAACAGGCTATAAAACTGAAAAAGATTTCTTTTCAAATATTGTTTATTTAGAAAAGGAAAATTTCTGTATTCCTATCAGGAAAGAGTTGAAGAACCTAAGAGATGGTGAGTTTGATGACAGAGACTTGTTTAGATATCAACAAGTCTGTTTATATCCTCATTTAATCAAAAATCTTGAACTATTTGAAGATGTAACATGCTTTTTGCATTTTGAACCAATGTTTGAAGGCAAATCAAAAAAAAAAAAAAAAAAAAAAAAGGCAGTGGGGCTTCCAGGCACTTCGTGCCCTCTAGCCCCGAAGATGTTTAGTATAAATGAAGTTTTTATTCGGAAAATTGTTAGTCTTCTTGGTCGAAAACATTATATAATGTTTCACTTTTCACAAATTATATATGTTTTCATGTTTTGTCAAGACTTCTTCGTAAATGTTTTGTCAAGACTTCTTCGTAAATGTTTTGTCAAGACTTCTTCGTAAATGTTTTGTCAAGACTTCTTCTTCGTAAATGTTTTGTCAAGACTTCTTCGTAAATGTTTTGTCAAGACTTCTTCGTAAAATCAGACAAAAATAATTTAGGTGAAGAGGTGAGATTTCACCTGTTTTTTCACCTCATTTCTAACCTCTTGAATTTTCATGAATTTTCATGAAATTTACACCAAAAATAATGTTTAGGTGAAGAGGTGAGATTTCACCTGTTTTTTCACCTCATTTCTCACCTCTTGAATTTTCATGAAATTTACACCAAAAAATATATTTTAGGTGAAGAGGTGAGATTTCACCTGTTTTTTCACCTAATTTTTCACCCTCTTGAATTTTACACCAAAAATATACTACTAGGTCATTTACGAAGAAGTCTTAACAAAGTCTTTACGAAGAAGTCTTGACAAAACATAGACAAGAAAGTTCATGAGAAATTAGATGAAGAAGTCTTAACAAAGTCTTTACGAAGAAATTCATGAAAATTCAAGAGGTGAGAAATGAGGTGAAAAAAAGAGGTGAAATCTCACCTCTTCACCTAAAATATATTTTTGGTCATTTACGAAGAAGTCTTGACAAAGTCTTTACGAAGAAGTCTTGACAAAGTCTTTACGAAGAAAGTCTTAACAAAAGTCTTTACGAAGAAGTCACAATAAACATCTGTCAAAAAACCGCTTTTTAACTTCACTTAAAATGCCACGTAAGCTACGTAAGAATATACGTAAGAGGAAGAGAGCATTGAAACATCCAATAGTAAGACTGACACCACAACAACAGTTGCAACAACAAATGCTGAATGACCCCACTATGTTGCAACAAATGTCAAGCAATCCTATGCTTTTAAACCGAGTTCTTGGTGCACAGAGTTGGAGGTTTAAGAGCGGCACTTTTAGCGAAAATGCAGGCTATGGTGGAGCTGCAGACGGAACAGCTTATAACCTCAAAGTCAAATGAATTTGAGTTCACTCAAAAATCAAATAACAGATGTCAAAAAGTCAAACATAGACATACAGAAGCAAATAAGTGAAAACGAAAAGAAACTAGAATATGACAGACACACAAAGAAAACTCAATGAGTTAACGTAGAGAAAAAGAAGAAAGAAGAACAACTGAAAGAACTAAGTACAGAGGAATATGCGAAAAAAGTGTCAGAAAAAGCAGCAGAAGTAGCAAAAATGGAACAAGATGTCATAAATTTGAAAAACCATACTACTCAATATAAAATACTGAAAGATGAAGAGATAAAACAAAAAGCCCTGAAGACATATATGGATAGCGATGAGTATAAAAAAGAAGTTGAAGCAAATGTAAAGGCAGAAAAACTTTTACAGTTGCAAAACCAAACCGTACAGTATGAAACTTAGCACAAGAAAGTAAAAATAACGACGCAGCCATGCAAAAGGCAATGAAAAGCGCAGAATATATAAAAGCTAACAATGACTGGTTAGATGCCCAAGCCAACGCTAAAGCAGCCCAACTCATAGGTCAATAAGGACAAAAATACAAGCGGATGAAGATAGTTCAAATGAAGCTTTAACAAATGCTGACTTTAAGAACGCTTTCGAAGCTCTTCATAGTAAGGTGAAACAAGTGAACGACTTCTCATCTGGAAAGAAACTGAAGTCTGAAGGTTTCGACAAAGAGTTAAAAGAAGTAGCACAAAATATGACGAAAATAACAGATGCAGCAACGAGACAGGCAGTTCAAAGTGCCTATGACGCCGTTAGAGCAACTGTTGTGAAAAGTCAAGAAAAAGAGTTACAACAGACCAAAACAGACCTAGTAAATGCTTTCTTAAAAACGAAAAGTCAGGTAGGACATTACGCTGCAGATGGAACATATGTGCCAGCTGGTGGAACTTATATACCACCAAACCTCCAAGAGAAGCACCTGCACCAGGACTACCTAGAACATTTACATCGTCACATGGACACAGACACAGCATGCACAACAACCAGCACAACAACCACTCCACAACCAGCACAACAACCAACACAACAACCAGCACAGCAACCAACAGTTCAAAACCCTGCACAACAACAACCACAAACAGAGCAAGGACATAAAAGAAGTAGAGAACAAGGAAACCAAGAATTCTTAAAAATGCTTAAAGAAGAGTTGGTTCCCAGATACTGTTGACTTTAGTGACAGATATAAAGAAGCTATTGGAAAGTTCAAGGATGGAAATACTGACCCGAACCTATTTAGCTTTATGGCTCAGCACCAAAACGGATATAATCTCAAACCTGGAAAATACAAGCTCGCTAAGGGATATGATTTAATAGCATATCATCCAAATGACATGGATGAATTTACTCCGAGATATTTGATGTCAGAGCTAAATGACAATTCAACTTTCGTCATGAAACGCGTAAAAAATAGAGACGGAACGAAAGAACAAAAGCTTATGAATGCGGATGACGTAGATAGGGAAATTGTTGAAAACGGTCTCGGAATATATGAAATGCCAGCAGATGAGGTACAAGAAACTCCACAGGAAGAAGTTCAGATACAACCAGACATGGAAGAAATAGTTCAGCAACAACAGCTAGAAGAGCCTGAAGGAAACGAACAAGTCCTTCCTTTGGAAACTAACTTCCAGAACTAGATGAAGATTTGGAACAGCCGAAAAATCTTGACCCTCAACAAGAGTATGCGGAGAATATGGAATATTTCCAAGAGTCTAAAAAAATTCGGCTGACATAGTAGAAGAATATCGAAAAATGTTTGCCGACATACAAAAGACTCCAACATCAGATGAAAATATCCAGCATAGAATGGAAGAACTGAAAAAAAATGTACACAAATACAACAACCCTTTTTACTTACGAGCATTTAACGTTCAATCTTTGGATGAACTCGGTGAAAATAAAAGGTTAAATTTCAAGAAAACATATAGAAATGAAACATTGTTTAAAGTTCATTCAGAACCTAACCAAGATGGAAACAAACCTACTTTTGTTTCTGCAGACGATGGAACTACAATGAGATGGGGTCATAAAGCTAATCCGGATAGGTGGTTCATAAACTTACAACCACAATTCCAAGAAGTTGTAGACGCAATGGAAGTCAATGGTGAACCAGATATAGCTGGTATTTTAAGCGCGGCTTTAATG